CCTGCTCGCCTTGATGTGCGATATTAGATTGAATACCTCCTTCACCGGCCGAAAGTGGACGTGGAACCGCGGGTATTTGCTGATGCTGCATTCCAGCTTTCAATTCTGCATTCTCTTTTTTGAGAGCTTCGATTAAGTTCATCAACTCCTCAAGCTTCGTTTGCTGGACAGCCTCCATCGGATTGGAGCTTTCACCTATCATTATTCCTGAACGGAGTAAAGGCATTAAACTCAAGTTCTTGAGTAGATCTGAGCTTCGTGAGCGCGAATTTTTCAGATTTGGACTCGAATTCTCCGAATTATGCTTACGGTTGACGAGATCTGAATTCTCCGAATTCTAAATCCGTCAGATCCGGCCACAATCGAACAACTCGTTGTTGCGTAGATCTGAAGCCACTTCCGTCAAAGCAACAGGAACTAAAATTCCTCCAGAATAGGTCACAATCGCTCAGATCTGGATCCAATTCCCAAAGATCGAGTTTCGTCTTCACGAGTTGGTCTGAATCCACGCAATATTGATCAATGATCAATCAATCTTCAACGATTCCCACAGACGGCGCTAATTGAAGATGCAAGGAATTCATTTCCATTTTTTCTCTCTAGAATTCTTACACTTCAACAGAATCATCCCCTTCTCTATCCATTACTTCTCATATTTATAAATACTTACAAACACTAATGGACTGCTAGATCTGGGCCCGTTCCTCTGTGGGTTTTGGTCATCTTTAATGGGCTATTCGCGTTCGGCCCATATGGCAGTATTTCTCTATGGGCTGGACCCAGCTGCTCGGACCGGATGCCATGTTCGCGGGTCATATCCGGCCTATGTCACTTCTGGCCTTCTCAAACTCGTTTCAAAATAAAATGCCTCATTTTAGTATTTTATGTAGTTAAAAAAATAAAGTGAGTGGTGGGTACTTTAGTAATACTAATGTATTGTTTTGATTTTAAGAGTAATTTCGTCAAAAAATTTATTACACAATCACTCTAACAAAGGTTACTTAAAATGACCCCCTTATGATAGTTGATGAGAATTAATTGTTAAAAAATATTCATAAGAAATTTAGAAATTTTTTTTTGGTAAACGGGTAAAAGTCTATGAGTGTTTTTTTTTTTCTTTTTTCTTTCTTTTTTTTTTTTTTTTGCCATTCGTCCCAACTTTTAATGCATTGCGTCATTAAAAAATCTCAAGTTGCAGGATAGGTCATTCGGAATGTGGCTGACACTCTGGGTGGCAATTACATCATGATCTGGAGGGAATGTTCACACGCGCTGATTACTGGAATTTTTAATGATTGCTATTGTGTTAATTTGGTGATGGGTTGGGTGGCTGTGATAGATATCTCTTAGAAGAGTGGTTTGCTACAATTTTTATTTTTTATTTTTTTTTCTTAGTTTTCCTTTCTTTGTTTCTTTTATTGCTATTAGCTCACTTTTGAAAAATGGTTTTTTTTTAAGTTCTTCAAAGGAAACAAAAATTGAAAAACCCGATCATTGCTGTAAAATTACAAAATTAGGCTCTTCTTCAAATGAAACAAAAATTAAAAAACCTATCATCGCTGTCAATTGCAATAGTGTGAAGCAAGGAAGGAAAAAATTCAACTAACATGACATCAGTCCTTCAAATTAAGGATTAAATAAAAAATATTCAATGCAAAACAATATGCTAAATAAAGTAGTAAAAGTAATATAAGAACTAAAATATTGTTTACTAATATTTTCATTGAAAAAATTACATACTACATATATCATATGTAAGTACAAAAAGAAAATTTTTAAGAAGTAGCAAAAAAGAGAAGAAAAATAATCCTTTTTGTTTTTTGTGCAAACCAAAGGAATTTGAAGAGTAAAAAAGAAAAGGGAAAAAAACTTAAAGAGATATCAAATAACAATAAAAAAAAAAATCTAACAGTAAACTCAAAGCATAAAAAAGAAAAATAAATAAAATAAATTACTATTCCCATCACTATTATTATCAAAGTAGTTTAATGGTCCATGAAGTTTTAATACTTATTCGATATTTTTTTATACTGACAAGATCAATTACATCGTTCCAACTCTGTTATTTTTTTATTTATGAAATCTTTCGTTATTACTTACAAAGATCAATATCAAACCTAAAGTGAGAAGAGAAAGTTAATACAAAATAGAGAAAGAGTTTAAAAATGGAGGAAGTAAGATAAAAGATGGGTTAAACGTTAATTGGGAAAGAGGGGAGAGGCAAAAAAAATCTTACCATAATTGACAAGGATAATTGTGGTATTTGATAAAAATAATTATTAATTTTTAAAGTTAATATTAGATGTGTCATTTTATTTAAGATTTGATTGCAATCGTATAAAAATGGAGTGGGCTAATATCGCCTCCCTCAAATTTAAAAATCACTACATACGGTAATGGGCAGAGCTAGCCACGGGGCACCCAGACATAGGGTGGCAATTACCCCCAACGAGGCGGGTTTCTGTCTAACACTGTCCCTAAATTTGGGGCAGATTTGAAACCTCCCTAATGAATTTGGGACAGATATGGTAAAATAATAAAAAATCAGAAGCGAGTTTGAGGTAGAGGCGAATTTAGTGATGAACCCGCTTCAATTATATATGTACCTTTAATATATATATATATATATATATATATATATATATGTATGTATGTATAAATTATATTTTTAATATTTTTAAAACACCCTTATTACTTTGCTGAAAGTGTCACTTAATATATTAATATTCACTACTTGATAATTTAAAAGCTGAGTAAACTTATTTATCACTACCGTTTGAACACGTTAGGTTAGTAGTTTTTTTTTTAAAAAAGTGACATAACCCGCCTCGCAATTAAATGAAATACACTAAGCAGAATCGTTATTTTGTTTAGCGAAATAAGAGTGAAAATAGTGTACCAATTACAAACCGATTTTAAAGTAAGGACGGAGTTAGTAGAACGAATTTTTTAACGAAATTAAATAAAGTTTTGTCAACCCCGCTACAATCCCGTCCCATTGCCAACACACTAACTCCACTCCTGTAAACTAATCAAATTGTGTAGCATAATTTGAAAAGTTGTATTCATTCAAGTTCTTACCCTAATTAAAGCTAATGGGTCCAGAAATTGTTGTTTACATTGAGTACATTAGAATAAGCCACTCAATAAATTTGTAGCAGCTGTTTCAAGAGTACTGTTATTTGTCTTGCATCCTACATCTAAACAAGTACTAGTCATTCAATAAAAATATCTACCATTTGGTACTGCAATTAAGTTTGAAGAAAAGTTGGTATGAATTAATAACACAGTCGTCCATTAGTCTTTCTGAGGAGCCTTGTTAAGAATTGACTGATCGTGCCATGTCGTCGTAGGTCAAACCAAACTTAATTGGTAGGATTGTACATGGATAGATGAGCATCTTCTAGAGCAACCATCTCCCAATATATATTTTTGACTGATCGTGCCATGTCGTCGTAGGTCAAACCAAACTTAATTGGTAGGATTGTACATGTATATATTTTTGTTTGTTGCAATCCGACATTTCTGATTAATTTTGTATATGTAGGGAATTGTGACGTCAACCCTTACTTATACAAAATGAATTCGATTTGTCCAATTTTCAAGCTTCAAATCATTCTCATAAACATGGTGACTTGAACCTGTACAAAGGAGCCCAACATGTAATCATCTCGTTCCTTCATCAGAAAAGAATAAAAATAAAAATTAGCGAATGTTTCTTTTAAAAATAAAAATTAGCCAATGTTTCCATTCATGAACGTATATAAAGAAGCCCAACATGTAATCATCTTATTTGGTGTCAAAAAATACAAAAAAAATTCATCTCATTTGGATTTTGTTTAGGTTGGTTACAACTTACAAGCTCAACATGAAAGCCCAAAAAAATAAAACAAAAGGCTCAAGAGGCCCAATCCACCAAGCACAGCTAGAAAGTTGTAACCAACCTGAATAACCCCCGAATTCAAATGAGAGGACCGTTACTCTGGTTCGAGAGAGACCAGAGCATCGGTCATATGCGGAGAGAGAGAGGGAGTGAAAACTGTTTTTGATGAAGGTGGGAGGCAAATCCCAGTTGTCAAGCATCACTCGAATAGAAGCTTGGGATGATTTCCATTCCGTACTCAAAAGTTTCCCTCCAATTGTCTCTGTTATGGACTTGAAGACTTGATTAGCATTAGAGACCTTTCCTTTCCTTGGAACAATCTGGAATTGAAATTGAAACCGTGTGAAAGAGAGTAGCATTTGTTAGGGGATGGGTTCCACTGGACATGATTGATTGAAATAGGAGGGAGGGAGGGAGGGAGGTCAGTTCAGTCAGTGATGGTTCTGTAACTCAGGCAATAGCCTAAGCAAAGAGGATGGGAATGACACAAGACCCATTCGAGAGATGATAGAGGCATGTACACCCGCAGTGAAAAGAGGCTTCCAGTTATCAAACCAACCAGAAGAAGGTGAAGTTGCCATTGCCTAGCTGGTGTTTGAAGAAAGGCCTAGCTGAATAACCTTTCTCCAAGTTCATCAAGCCTGCTGAGGTATGTTTATCATCCATAAACTCTTTCTTCATCAGAATGCACTGATGCTTATTGGACTCAATTAATTGTTGCATTGTGACAGAAAATTAGGCTAAAGAGCTTTTTCTTCATCAGAAAATGCCACTTGTTGCAAGAACTAGATGGATGTAGAAAATCAATTGGGATGATAAACAAACTGTAATCATTTCAAACTCTTGGTCACAAAACAGAAGAATGTCCCTTTTTGGGATGTTCAAGGGACTCAAGGAGCCTTTTTTTTTTTTTCCTCCTCTCTGTGCATATCTATCCGTCCTTAGCAAGCAATGCTATTGTCACGACCTAACCAAACCCAATTCATTTGCAATACATTACTGATATACTTCATTGTTTGAACCAGGACCTGCTGCGAGGATTTTGGTTTGTTTAGCTAAAATAGGCTTTAAGGTTTAAATTGTTTATCAAAAAATAAAAATAAAAAAGGATAAAAGGTTATATGAATGCAATGTGTATATTTTGTAACTTGAACTTAAGTCGTCATTTAATGTACATGAAGGATCAAATCAGGTGGGGAAAAAGAAAAAAGAAGAGAATTTTCTCAAGAATGCACTTGCTAACGGCCTCCGATGACTGTTATAGTGACACTGTTTGTAGAACATCTCTCCTGGCTCTGTTGAAAATACTCTGCATTTATAGAAACATGTCTTTCAGTAAATGCAGGTTGTTTCGGAATAGGAAGATCTGCAATTTCACCAGTAAGCATGGAAAGAGCAGAAGAAATGCTTGGCCTATCTTTGGCAAATTCTTGCACACACAATAGTCCTACATGTATGCATCCCAAGATCTTCATTTGGAAGAATGGATCAGATATTGTTGGATCTATCAATGCTACATTATTATCTTCATTCCATAATTTCCATGCCTGAAAACAAGGACTCGGAAAGTGTGAAATTATGAACTTTAGAAAGTTAATCATTAATAGGAAATATCAATGAGATTAATGGAGGCAATGATTCAGATGGACTTACAAATCCCAAAAGGCTTAAAGAATCCTTGTCGTTATAAAAACTGGTGTTCCTTCTCCCACTTATAATCTCTAATAACAATACTCCAAAGCTGAAAACATCAGATTTTTCGGAAAATCTCCCTTCCATTGCATATTCAGGAGCCATATATCCACTGCAGTATATAATTCAATAAAAAAAGGGTAAGACTAATTAGCTGAACTAAATTAACCCATGAGAAATAAGAGGTTATACCATGGAAATTCTGAAGCATTTGGACAAAGACACATCTACTTACTATGTTCCAACAATCCTTTTTGTGTTGTCTTGATCTTGGTTGCCTCCAAAAATCCTTGCCATGCCAAAGTCTGAAATTTTGGGGTTTAGCTCCTCATCCAATAAAATATTACTAGCTTTTAGATCTCTATGAATAATCTTTAGTCTGGAATCTCTATGAAGGTAAAGGAGTCCTCGACCAATCCCTTCAATAATGTTGAAGCGTTTCTTCCAATCTAAGAGTTTTTGTTTCGCGGGATCTGAAAGTAGTAATCCAACAGAAAGAAACAAAAATGCATTGGAAATCTAAAGGGTGAGATGAATCTGATATTGAGACAAAGCTAGAAAGTTGGTGAAGGAGTTGAGGAACACTTGTGTAGTTAGAGCATTAACATGTACTAAGTAATTAGAGCATTAACATGTAGTTAGTACTACTAACCAAAGAGAAAAACATCCAAGCTTTTATTTGTCATGTATTCGTAGATCAACATTTTTTCTTCATCTTCGACACAGCAGCCGAGGAGTCTAACGAGATTTCGGTGTTGGAGTTTTGAAATCATTAACACCTCATTCATGAATTCTTTGAGCCCTTGTCCAGAGGATTTTGAAAGCCTTTTCACTGCTATTTGTTTTCCTTCCGGCAAGATTCCCTAGAACCAAGCATAAGATTACCACTTGTTCAATTCAATGCAGTTAAATTCTATAGAGAAATAAACTTTTACCTTGTACACTGGACCAAAGCCACCCTGCCCAAGCTTACTGCCTGAACTAAAATTGTCCGTTGCAATTGCCATCTTATCAAATTTGAATACCGGTAGCTCTTCTAGTTTTACTTGGTTCAAAACATCTGAACAGGTTGGATATACTTCTCTATCAATCAATGATAACTCTGATTGTTTCTTCATTCCTGATTCAGAATCTGGTAAGTAATTTATGAATTACAACTGTAAATATTAACTTATTTGATGATCTTATCAAATTACCTCTTCGTTTACCCATCCACCTCCAGGAAAAGTAGGTGCAAACGGCAATGGTGAGCGATACAGTAACTGAAATTACAATGACTAAATTCATGTTTCTCTTTTTCTCTGTAGCAAAGAACAAAAGTGAAAACAATTCAGCCAAGATGGATTACAAATCCTTGTGTGTGTGTCTATATATATATATATATATATATATATTTCTTAAATGCACTTCAATGAAACAACAAGGGAGTTACAAACAAATGTAGGACCACCTCCAACAAAACAACAAGAGCTGGAAAAACCATTTCAAGACGATAACAAAACCAAAGGACCAAAGAAAGAACAGAGCAAAAGGAAAAGCACGCCAATGAACAACAGAATAGGGAACAGAGTTAAACATTGCCCACTTTGAATTTTAAATTAGCCGCCATTATTTCTCGATATCTAGAACCTGTTTTCAGAATCTAGAGTGGTGTGCCTTAGGAACACAGGACCAAATAGACTGATTCTGAAGATACAAAGCTTGGCACCAGCAGCTGATCCATAAGCTCTCTTTACCTTGCAAAATATCCCAAAACAGACAGCACTAGGTGGCTTTGTGTTTGTCTTCTGTCTAACTAAGCCCAAAACAACCTTCAATTATTTAAATTGTGAAGGAGATGCACAAAAGATAGAGGCATTAGCCAAGCAGCTCAAGAGAGCAACATAGAAAAACTACCGCCGTAGAGTCCTAACTACTGCCGTAGAAGCTAGAATAGAGTTCAGCTATACAAATGAACACAACAAAATCAGTAGGAAGTATAGCAGCAGCAAGAGCCTGAGTCTGACTGTTCCCCATATGTCTTTTTTGAAATGGTAGAAGGGGGGAACAGGGGTTGTTCCTGCAAGCACTAAAATATGTATCATGCCATATACTACTGTAGACAGTACGTACATTCAAAAAGAAGTTTGTAAGCATATGGCTTGGGGGGTGTACTTTTGAAGAGCCACAGTGGAAGGAAAGCCAGTCAACAAAACAATGCCAATTGGGGGGGCTGAAAGGGCAAAGAAATAAAAGGTGAGGGATGGATTTGCAGAGAAAACAATAGTTAGAATAGTGCATTTTAGAATAGTGTGAATGACTCGAATCCTAATGATTTTCTATTATTCTAGACCAAACAGTAAAGACGCCATAGTTGCAAGATCATATAAATATAAGAGAAAAAAACATATTACCAAGCTCCGAATAAGGAACGCGAATGTGAAGATCTGGCCGAGTGTTTGGCCGATTGACTGAGAATTTCTGTATGTCAATTAAGTTGCCACTCCAAAGCAGACAACCAATTCCTGCATAATATGCATAAGCTACGCAGGAACAATTCTTTAAGCATTCATTTTCACATTCATCTTCAGCAGCAGATGACCACGTGGCAAAGTCTGGCACCTTCGTGTTCTTCAACTTCAAAAAGCCATCTTCTTTGCCCTCTACGCCACCAGTACTATTGTTTTTCTCGCACGGCAATGGTGTCTTCCTCACACACCCACTAGTCCAATTTCCACTACTCCATTCCTCTAGAGACTTCGGCTCAAACCCTCTCAAACAGGTGCAAATTGGAGACTCTTGTGAATTACAGCTTCCAAATGGCCCACACTTGCCATACACATCACATTCGGAAATTTGAGCCGACCAATTTGACTCCCAGTTTTCCATCCCTTCATCCCAGTACATTTGCATTAGAGTTCCTCCAGAATTCAATACAAAGTATGTTAATCCAGACTGATTTGCAAAAGTAAAAGTTAAATAATTCTCATCTACAATTTTAAATCCATCAAGATATACCGACTCCATCATGTCGGGTATCCCAGTAAAGATCTGACTATTCCAAGGACCGCTACGCCAGTGTGGATGATTGCCATTCCATACAAAGACCTCCGGAATATACTTCAGAGGATCGAGACTAGCTGAGAAACTTCCAATGGATGGATCCAATGGACTCTTCCATGATGTCATCAGAATCTTGGCATTTGTATTCACATCATTGCCGCCAAGTCTCATATTTTCCAAGAATGAATCTGAAGGATGCTGAAAACTCTCCCATATTATGCTCCCATTAGAATTATCCCTCAAAACAAGGTTCCCAGTATCCAAAAGCTGGGCACTTGAATTCGCGGTGGGACTTGAAAGATTGGATGACCAGATGATCTTTTCCTGTCCATCCAAGACTACAAGATCGCCATCTTTCGAGATCTTCACAGCTCCAGAAGGATCATTTAGAGGTTTATCCCTATTAGCTACCCATACCACAGCCTTTTCTGGAACACCATTATACCATATGCCAACATAACGGTTGGTAGTGTTCACAGGACTGAAAAATCCCAGTTTGAAGGTTTGGCCATTGGAGACTATACTTCCAGGATCTTGAATGGATTGATTAAAAGAATTAATGGTGTCTATGGCAGTGCAAAGCTTTAAACAAACACAGTAAAGTAAGAGAACAAGACATCGAAGAAGAGACATTTAAGCTTGTGGAATAGGTAAATCTCTCAACTGGTTTAGTGCTTCTTGTTGGTGAGAATGGGAGGAGTGGTTTCTTGTGGTTTTAATTTGTCAATGGATTGCGATGGGTTAAGAATAATCCCATCTCTTAACTCTTCAAACTGTTTTGCGTCCACAGATATTTCTTTCAATGACTAGTTGTTAGCTTAAACGCAGACTAAATTATGGCCAAAACTATTTCTCAAAGCCGCCAAATTAGAAAGCTATTTTAGAGAGGAGAACCAGCGTTTTAGTGCCTCAGAAGTTTTTTTATTTTCAACTTTCATCATCCAATATCTTTTTCTTGAATCGGTCATCTTTAGGCAGGTTCAAGGAAAGGGGCTGCCAAAGATGAACTAGTCCCAAGATTTTCTTGAACATTCATCTTTAGGCACAGATTCAAGGACAGGGGCTGCCAAAGATGAACCAATTCCATGACTCAAAATTGTCAACAATCAATCTATATCTCAATTGGCATTGGTCAATCATCTATGATTTGTGCCTAAAAATAAACATCTATGATTTAATTTATAAATGATGGAAATGTTGTCCACTTCCTCAATTATTTTGAACATGATCATTCCCAATAGTTAATTTCAGAAATGACCAAATTTAGTATCCTTCCACAATCACTAGATCTCCACAGATCATGCTTGGCAGAAAAAAGATCTTCATCCTCCGAAAAAAAAAAATTGTATGAAGAATATAATAGGAAATCATTTCTCAATAAATAATAAATTTTTTTTTAAAAAAAAAGAACAAAAGGATAGTCATTATATTTTCTTGAGAGCAAAGCAAGTGCAGGACCAGTGAATTATTTATGTATTTGCCTATTCAATATTCATTTCCTTCCGTCCAAAGGGAAACGTAATGTTGGAAATAACTTGCCTTCCACTTGGTACAAGTGAAGTGAATTACTTTCCTCCACTGTTGAAAGCCAATAACAAAAATGAATTCATTTCTGGTTTGCTTTTTTGAAGGGTAGCACAATTTTTAGTGATAGAGGTGATGCTCACTCGACTAAATTAATTGTTGCATTGTGACTGAAAATTAGTGAATTATGTTAACGAGATGTTTCTTCATCGGAATATACTTTTTGCAAGAACTTGATGGATGTAGCAAATTAATTGAAATGAAAACAAAGCTCTATTTTATTAAATTTCTTGGGCACAAATCAGAAGGAAAAAGGAGAAGATTTTTTTTTTTCCTCGAGAATGTGCTAACTAGCGGCCTCCAATGGCTGTTATAGTGACACTGTTTATAGAACAGCTTTCCTGGTTCTGTTGAAAATGCTCTGCATTTATAGAAACATGTCTTTCAGTTAGTGCAGGTTGTTTCGGAATAGGAAGATCTGCAATTTCACCAGTAAGCATGGAAAGAGCAGAAGAAATGCTTGGCCTATCTTTGGCAAATTCTTGCACACACAATAGTCCTACATGTATGCATCCCAATATCTTCATTTGGAATAATGGATCAGTTATTGTTGGATCTATCAATGCTACGTTATTATCTTCATTCCATAATTTCCATGCCTGAAAATAAAGGACTCAAAGGTGTGAAATTATGAGCTTCAAAAAATTGATCATTAATAGTAAGTAAATGATTAATGAGATTAACAGAGGCAATGATTCAGATGGACTTACAAATCCTACCAGGCCTAAAGAATGTTCATCCTGATAAAAGCTAGTGTTCCTTCTCCCACTTATAATCTCTAATAATAATACTCCAAAGCTGAAAACATCAGATTTTTCAGAAAATCTCCCTTCCATTGCATATTCAGGAGCCATATATCCACTGTGGTACATAATTTCAGTCAAAAGAGTGTGATTAATTAGCTGAGCTGAATTAACTCATGAGAAATAAGAGGTTATAGCATGGAAATTCTGAAGCATTTCGACAAAGAAACATCTACTTACTAAGTTCCAACAACCCTTCTCGTGTTCTCCTGATCTTGATTGCCTCCAAAAATCCTTGCCATGCCAAAGTCTGAAATTTTGGGTTTTAGCTCCTCATCCAACAAAATGTTACTTGCCTTTAGATCTCTATGAATAATCTTTAGTCTGGAATCTCTATGAAGGTAAAGTAGTCCTCGACCAATCCCTTCAATAATGTTGAAGCGTTTCTTCCAATCTAAAAGTTTTTGTTTTGCAGGATCTGAAATCCAACGGAAAGAAACAAAAATGCATTGGAAATTTAAGGGTGCGATGAATCTAATAGAGATAAAACTACAAATTTAGTGAAGGAGTTGAGGAATGCTTGTGTAACAAAGAGCATTAGCATTAACTAACCAAAGAGAAAAGCATCCAAGCTTTTATTTGGCATGTATTCGTAGATCAATATTTTTTCTTCTCCTTCAGCACAGCAGCCAAGGAGTCTAACAAGATTTCGGTGTTGGAGTTTTGAAATCAATAACACCTCATTCATGAATTCTTTGAGCCCTTGCCCAGAGGATTTTGAAAGCCTTTTCACTGCTATTTCTCCTCCTTCTGGCAAGATTCCCTAGAAACAAACATAAGATTACCACTTGTTCAACTCAATGCAGTTAAAATCTCTAGAGAAATAAACTTTACCTTGTACACTGGACCAAAGCCACCCTGCCCAAGCTTACTGCCTGAACTAAAGTTGTCCGTTGCAATTGCTATCTTATCAAATTTGAATAGCGGTAGCTCTTCTAGTTTTACTTGGTTCAAAACATCACCTACTATGATTTCATCTGAACAGTTTGGATATACTTGTCTATCAAACAATAATAACTCTGCTTGTTTCTTCATTCCTGATTCAGAATCTGGCAAATAATTTATAGATAACAACTGTAAATATCACCAAATTTGATGAGCTAATTCTAATTATGCATGTCAAATTACCTCTTCGTTTAGCCCTCCAACACCAGGAAAAGTAGGTGCAAACGGCGATGATGAGCGATCCAATGATCACTGAAATTGCAATAACTAAATTCATGTTTCTCTTTTTCTCTGTAGAAAGAACAAAAGTGAAAAAAATTCAGTCAAGATAGGATTACAAATACTTGTGCACATTTTTATTTTTTTATTTTCCTAATGTTATGTTTGGCGGCACCGAATTGATGCATTGAATTTAGGATTGGAAAAAATTTAGTAGAAATTTTGAACTAAACTTCCTCCAATCCCAAATCTAACGCACCAATTTGGTGCTCCCAAACATAAGCAAAAGGAAAAGCACACCAATGAACAACAGAACAGGGATCCCACACAACAAAATTAAACATCAAAGCAGTAAAGCCCACGACTAAATCAGGTGCAGATCATTCCCAGCAGGTCCTGACGATGCACACCCAAACCGTCCATAACTTCCTAGATGATATTTCTAACCGGTTGAACATCATTATTAGAGGCTTCATTGTGAAAGGCCTGGCTCCTATCCCACTAAATTTGCCAGAGGACGTGGTAGTGGTAAAAAAAATGGCTTTAACAAACTTGCTTCTAACTGATTTAAAAGAAGATTGGCAAATGAACCAATCCACAAACTGGTCCAAGGATTGAAGATGACTCAAGTTCCATTGAAATAACTCAGCAATCCATTTCCGCGGCAACTAAGCATACACACAGTCAAAGAACAGATGTTCTACAGTATCAATTCCATTTATGCAATTATGGTATATAGAGGTTAAACATATTCCTTTTTTCTGAAGGTTAGAGAGAGTGGGGATATTGTTCTGCAAGATCAGACAAGAGGTAAATCTAGCAGCTGGTCTCACCTTGTTCCACACCAACTTTGCCCACCTTTTAACAGGTGAGTGATGACTGCAAAAATTCCAAAAGGATTTGAAATTGGGAATCCCATGTTTCCATTTGATACCATCCTGTTCTTGACAGATTTGAAAATTAATCACCTGCTGCCAAATTTGATTTTCCTCTTCTGCCATGAAGATAGGTTTCTGCCACTGTCTATTTTGAATAATAGCACTAAGGTTTGCAGACTTTGGAAGATCAAACAGTCTGTATATCCTGTGCGGCTGTGCCCAAACCTTTGAAATAAGGTTTCACCATTCCACCAAGAGTCCAGAAATCGTTTTATAGTGACCATTACCCACTTTAAATTGTAAACTAGCTGCCATTATTTCTCTAATATCTGTTTCCAGAATCTAGAGTGTGTATGCCTTAGGAACACAGGACCAAATAAACTGATTCTGAAGATACAAAGCTTGGCACCAGCTGATCCATAAGCTCTCTTTACCTCGCAAAATATCCCAAAACAGACAGTACATGGAGGCTTTGTCTATGTCTTCTACCTTTCTAAGCCCAAAACAGTTGGGAATTAAATCCCCTTTGTCGTTCAGCACAACGGAAGCACATCACATCAACAATCAATCAAGCATGGAAATTCAATCACACAACACTCAACACACAACACAATATTTTACATGGTTCGCCCTAACTCTAGGGCTACGTCCAAAGAGAATAAATTCTACTATCATGAATCAAGAAGAGAATATTACAATTGTAGAGAATGCCCACTCCATCAATCAATCTGTCATTCACTCAATCATTCAGTCAATCATTTATTCACTCACCCATAGGAAGTATATCATCCAACTTCTACGGCTCTTTCTGGGCTCAGAGCAAACCCACTCTGAATTTCGGCTTAAGAGCAAACTCTACATTTCTCTACTTTTGTACCCACCCTCTTCTCTCGTCACTCACTCTGCCCTTATTCTCTACTCTCTCCACACAACTCGACCTCTATTTATATAGAGTCTTCAAACCCAATTCCTTATTGGACAAAAATTACAATTCCTTGGAACGCAAAACTTGTCTAATAAGAAGTTACCTAATCAAAATACAACTCTAAAATAGGATTCTAATGAGAAACAACTTCCCCCACAAGTCTACACCCTTTTGGAAGCACAAACTTTGTTTAGGAAATAAATTCCGCACATATCAGACAAGTGTGACTGGTTCCCAAAAGTGTGAAAGGTTGCACTCTTCAGAACTCCACAGCTCAGAAAGTGCAAACGGTCTGCAAAAGTGTGACCAGTTTCAAGAATTTAAGTCACATCCTAACAAAAACCACCTTCAATTGTATAAATTGTGAAGGAGATGCACAAAAGATGAGGCAATAGCCAAGCAGCTCAAGAGAGCAACAAAGAAAAACTACACCAGTAGAATCCTACTCTAATCAAGCTATACAGCTAGAAGCTAGAACAGAGTTCAGCTGTACAATTGAACACAAAAAAATAAGTAGGAAGTATAGCAACAAGAAGAGCCTGAGTCTGACTGTTTCCCATGTGTGTTTTGAAATGGCAGAAGGGGAACGGGAGTGGTTCCTGAAATCTCTAAAATTTCTGTCATGCCATATATTGCAGACGGTACATGCAAAAAGGAGTTTGTAAGCATATGGTTTGGTTCGAAGAGCCACAGTGGAAAGAAAGCCAGTCAACAAAAGAATGCCAATTTGGGGGGCTGATGTGCAGGTCATGGAGACCAAAAATGGAGTCCCAAATTTGAGAGGAGAAAGGGCAAAGAAATAAAAGGTGAGGGATGGATTCAGGAGAAGATTTGCAGAGAAAACAATCATTAGAATAATGTAGGAATGACATAAAACTTACTTCCATAATTCTCTTTCCCATTGGAAAATTAGAATGATACTCTACTAAAGTTGTCGAAATAGTTCAAAGATATCAAATATATTACAAATTCATGAGTTTACCATTTTAGAATAGTGAATGATTCAAATCCGAATGATTTTTTATTATTCTATACCAAACAGTAAAGACGCCATAGTTGCAAGAAATCAATTTACAAAATCAAATAAATATAAGAGAAAACATATTACCAAGGTCTGAATATGCCAAGCGAATGTAAAGATCTGGCCGAGTGATTGAGAATTTCTGTATGTCAACTAAGGTTCCGCTCCAAAGCATACAACCAATTCCTGCATGATATGCATAAGCTACACAGGAACAATTCTTTAAGCATTCATTTTCACATTCATCTTCAGCAGCAGATGACCACATGGCAAAGTCTGGCACCTTCATGTTCTTCAACTTCAAAAAGCCATCTTCTTTGCCCTCTACACCACCAGTACTATTGTTTTTCTCGCACTGCAATGGTGTCTTCCTCACACACCCACTAGTCCAATTTCCACTACTCCATTCCGCTATAGACTTTGGCACAAACCCTGTCAAACAGGTGCAAATTGGGTACTCTTGTGAATTACAGCTTCCAAATGGCCCACACTTGCCATACACATCACATTCGGAAATTTGACCCGACCAATTTGACTCCCAGTTTTCCGTCCCTTCATCCCAGTACTTTTGCATTAGAGTTCCTCCAGAATTCAATACAAAGTATGTTAATCTAGATTCATTTGCATAAGTGAAAGATACGTAGATGCCTCCTTGTTTGTCATTTACAATATTAAATCCATCGAGATATAACGACTCCATGTAGGGTACCCCAGTAAAGATCTGACCATTCCAAGGACCGCTACGCCAGTGTGGACGACTGCCATTCCATACAAAGATCTCCGGAATGTACTTCAGAGGATCGAGACCAGCTGAGAATCTACCGACGGATGGATCTGAAAGACTCTTCCATGATGTCATTAAAATCGTGGCATTGGTATTCACATCGTTACCAATTATCATCTTTGCCAAGAATGAATCTGAAGGATGTTGAAAACTCTCCCATGCTATGCTTCCATTAGAATTATCCCTCAAAACAAGGTTCCCGGTTTCCAAAAGCTGGGCACTTGAATTCGCCGTGGGACTTGAAAGATTGGATGACCATATGATATTTTGCTGTCCATCCAAGACTACAAGATCGCCATCGTTTGAGATCTTCACAGCTCCAGAAGAATCATTTAAAGGTTTGCCCCTATTAGCTACCCATACCACAGCTTTTACAGGAACACCATTATACCATATGCCAACATAACGATTGGTGGTGTTCACAGGACTGAAAAATCCCAGTTCGAAGGTTTGGCCATTGGAGACTATACTTCCAGGATCTTGAATGGATTGATTAAATGAAATGGTATCTATGGAAGAACAAAGCTCTAAACAAACACAGTAAAGTAGGAGAACAAGGAATTGAAGTAGAGACATTAAGTTTGTGGAATAGGTAAATCTCTTAACTGGTTTAGTGCTTCTTGTTGTTGAGAATGGGAGGAGTGGTTTCTTATGGTCTGTTGTCTATGTATTGTCATGCGTGAAGAATAATCCATCTCTTGATAATGTTCTGCGCTGGCAGATGTTTCTTTCAATGAGTGTTAGTGTAAAAGCAGACTAAAATTATGGGCACAACTATTTCTCAAAGCCGCCAAATTTGAAAGCTAATTTTTAAAGGAGGACCAGCCTTTTGATGACTCAGATTGGTTTCTTATTTTCAACTTCATCATCCATCCAATATCTCTCTCGACTCAAAATTGTCAACGATCAATCTATATCCCTTTCTCTGTACCAATATATATGCAGGCAGAAAACCATTGTGCATATTACATCCCTAACTTGCCAATTTGACATTACCCTTTATGATTAAAGACAAAAGTGCCCCTCTTTCTCTCTCCAGCCGCAATCACAATTTTATCTCTCCCTCTCTTTTACCGGTATATCTCTAGCTTCTTCTTTTTCTTCTTTTCTTTTTCATAAATGTATATCTATAGCTTTACCTCTACAAATCTCTCTCTTCGTTGCCCTCTGCAACTCACTCCGACTCCTCTCTCTCTCTTTATATATATTCATATGAAGTTCTCTCTCGAAGTATATCTCTTGTTGCATCTGAATCTCTCTCTACAACCCAAAACAATTTCCTTATTTTCCAACATATATGCATAAACAGTGTAATTGTAGGACTAAACAAATGCAATTCCAAAACAATCACTAAATTCCAAGGGAGGTATTACCCTTGCCAAATCGCCCAAACAAAAGTTCAAATAATTGTCCCAACAATCAAATAAAACTAAATACCCATACTTTTATGGGAATTTTCGCATAATATAAACACAATTATCTCTTGATAACAAACAATAAAATCCCAATCTTCTCTCGTCCTCATGAATATGTTGTGATATCTATCAAATAGAATGAACAAGTAGTACTCACCTTCCTTGACGGAATAGACATCCCAAACCTTCCCATGCCGAGAAGACCAGAAATCTTCTGGGTCTTAGAACAAGTAATAGTCTTCCCCGTCGAATTCCAGGAGAGAGAGAGAGAGACAATAACTTAGAGAAAGTGGAGAGAGAAAGAGGGTGGATTGTGGGTGAGAGACCATAGGTCGTGAAAGTAGAGATAGTTTCCGGTCACAGAGATGGAGAGAGAAGCCAAAATAATGTGAAAAATGACTTGCCTTCCACTTGGTACGAGTGAATTACTGTTAAAAGCCAAAATATTCTTCCACTGGTAGAGGAATTTTACAACCACATACATCCCCACAAACTTAATTGGTATGAAATTTCTAGGAAGGGTAACATAAGAAAGAAGCCAAATAACAAAAACGAATTCATCCAATTTGATTGCCATTTTGTCAACAAGGATCAGTCTTTTTGGATGCTTGGACATTTCTACTTTGCTTCTCTAAAGGGTAGCACAAATTTTAGTGATAGAGGTTCTAGTTATGTTCAACGCCTCGCCGGAAAGGGTGATGCTAGCTTGTTGGACTAAATAAATTGTTTGCCTTGTGATTGAAAATTAGCGAATTACAGTATGTTAAAGAGATTTTTCTTCATCAGAATATACTTGTAGCATGAACTAGATGGATGTAGCAAATTAATTGAAATGAATACAAAACTGTCTTTTTGAAAAAAAAAATAATAATAATAATAAAAAAATAAAATAAAATTCTTAGGCACAAATATCCAGAAGGAAAAAAACAAAAATGCTTTGGAATTTGCCAAAGGACTCAAAAATTGGATGACCAGAAGATCCTTTCCTTTCCATACAATACTACAAGATTGCCATCGATCTTCTGAGATCTTCAGAAGAATCATTTAGAGGTTCGTCCCTATTAGCTACCCAATCCACAGCCATTAAAGGACACACCATTATAATACAATTTTCATAATGATCACAGTTTTGCTAGAAATGAGTCTAACGATTGGTTGTGTTGACGGGACTGAAAAATCCCAGGCCATTGCAGACTATACTTTCAGGATCTTGAATGGATTGACTGAATGAAATGGTGTCTATGGAAGTGCAAATCTCTAAACAAACACAGCAAAGTAAGAGAAGAAGAAATTTAAGAAAGACATTAAGTTTGTGGAATAGGTAAATCACTACTGCTTCTTGTTGGTGAGAATGGGAGGAGTAGTTTCTACTTTCTAGAGACTTTACCAAGCGTAAGATCAATGCAAGTGCTTGTACAGAAAGTCTCTGCGTCTAGTTAGTCTTCCACTCTCTTCTTCAAGTCTTCCACTTTTATTTTTAATGCCAAATTTATTCCATCTTTTGGATTCCTGTTTTTTAGCTCACTCAATGGCATTGCAAACAAGCAAATTAAGGGTTGTAGAACAAGACTTCAAGAAGCTGTTAGTAAGAACCAAAGGGCAGGGACTTCAAATTAATTAAAAAACATGAAAAGCCCATCAATATCTCTTTAAATATTTGGGTTAATTACGATCAACTCTTTAAATTTGACCAAATATTATATTAAAATACCTTTTAAAAATTATTATTACTCCCGTTACAAATATTTGGTCCGTTTTTTGGTTGTTTCAGATTACTTTTTATATGTAAAAAAACATTGTTATCCTTTGATTTGGTCAACCCCCAACCTTATAAAATTATTTAAAAGACCAAAATACCCACTGCTTTTCTCAAATGAGGTGATTCATCATACCATCGAGGGACGTTTATAATCCATTTGCCAATATCACACGAGCCCAACACCTTCCCCCACCCACTCACCCACCCGGTTCTCCATCTTTGATCACTTTACAGCCATTATGGGAAAAAGTATATAAATAAAATTATCATAAGCAATATCAGTAAAAGCAAAATTTAACATGTGCATGATACAAGTAAGCCACTAAAATCAAGCACATCTAAACCTGCGCCTTTCGTCCTCTATTTTGTTCCTTACAGAACTGAAGTGTTAACACATTAACTACATGATGAAACCCAATAATAAAGGCGGCTAAAATCTTCAATATGAATATAAAAGAATGCCATGCAAACTGTTTGCTCGTCTTTATGTACATTACTTTGCTGTTCATTATGTAACCAGAGTGTAAAAGCAATCATTTGCTGTACCTCCCATGTCGAGAGCTTTACGGAGAGAGAATCGCGGTAGGTGTGGTGGTGTGTGAGAGCAGTAAATGAGGGGTGAAATGGCCATTTTAGTTAGTTGAAATTTTGGAATAGATGGGATTAAAAAATAAAAAATGTTAAGAACTCAAAATAGCATAGTGGTCTATTTTAACTTTTATTGAACGAAACAAAAAATAATTACATATATATGAAGAATCATTATTAAAGTCTAAAATATCCTCCCAATTTATATTTTAAAATATCAAATTCTTCTTTTTAAATTAATTCATTCCTTCACTCAATAAACTAAAAAAAAAAAAAAAAATCGAACCCACTTCGTGTATCATTTAACTAGGTAATTTGGTATAGTTTAATTCAGGAAAATATTGAACAAGATGCACCGATTCCTATGATTCTCCCTTTTTTTTTTTTTTCTTTTTTTTAATAATTTATCAGTTGCAACCCCTTGCCCTTATATATGGACATACACTTTTCATAAGAATATAATATATATATATATAGATATATATATATTGCATTGGTTGGAGTGAATTGCCATTTTATCTGTGTGAGAAGAGAATGGAAAATCAATTGTGAATTCCAAACTATAATTTTTCTTTTCCACTACAAGAACTTTAGATACGAAAGCAAATTAATGATCAGTAATTTGCTATATTTTTTTTATATACATATAAAAGAAGAAGAAGCAGAAACTGGTTATGGACATCAATCAAATGGTTTTGTATTTGCGAAATTAATTTGACGATATGGGATATATTCAGTGATTAGCATAGCGATAGGTACTATAACAAAGGTTCTATTATATATATAATTTTTCCCTGAAATAATGAGGTTTCAGATAAATATTAATATAATGTGTCCAATTTCCAGGTAACCTTTTGTTTTCCACCCTAAATCTTGCAAATCATGCCTAGACCAAACACATCAAAGAACTGGTTGTTCTGTAAGTTAATTTTCAGTCGGTGGTATAGTAGATGGAGAATCGAAGAAAATGATGCCTAATGTTGGATAGTGGGTGAATAGTGGATTGAAAAAACTCAATTGATATAATATTTTGGCAGTAATTTGGTATCTTGAAATAAGAATTTGGAGAGTATTTTGGACCTTAATAATGATTTTCGATGTATATATAATTATTTTGCTTAATTTAACAAAAGTAAAAAACAAACTTTTAAAATAGGCTACTATGTTATTTTGAGCTCCTAACTTAGTGTAAGTGTAGTTTTTCCTATTTTTTTTTAAAAAATTAGAAGTAAAATTAGACCTAAATAAAAGTAATTTTTGAAAGATATTTTAATGTAATATTTGATCAAACTTAAGGGATATTAGTGAAATTAATCCTAAATATTTTGCCTGTACCAAAGTACTCTTTGGATAATGTAAAAGTGGAAAAAATAAAAAATAAAATAAAAATAAATGAGTGTACATGCCAAAACTAGTATGTATGATTTCAAACACTAAAAAAAAGGTGTTAGATATTGTATATCCAATTGTTTATATACATTTTTTTTTCCAAAAAAAATAAATATTAAAAATAATTCAAAAATTATAGATCATTAATATAATATACAGTTAATACTTGAAAAATTACATTGACTAATTTCTATCCAATAATGCCTCTTAAGTTATTGCCATATGCAGATGTATTAATTAGAAGTATATAAATAAACAGGTAGAATCACCGATTGATATAGCGCATGGCAGGAACTGAAATATAGAGCTACAAACAATAAATGGAAATTTTCCACTAACACTTTCCCAAATACCCATTTATTTATTTTAAAGTATTTCGAACACCATATTTTGGGATACAATTTCTCATTCACCCAAAAATAATTTTGATCGTCATCTAATAATATTATTGCCCCCCTCACATGAATTTTTAGATTAGTCTTGACTATAAACCAATCTCAAATAGTCAATAAGACTCATTCATTCGAGAAGCTATGCACTCTACTAATTAGACCACTAAGTAATGTTTTTTTTTGCTTTTACACATTGAGTTTCATATTTTAAGCCATCCACAGTTTTTATTTTATATTGAGTTAGGTGGCAAAATTCTTTCTCACTTGTCAACCGGCTAAAATCCACCAACTCTTTAATAGATTTGGGTGAACCACTTTGAAATGTGGGTCAAAAATGAATTATGAAAGCTAAATTTATTTTTAGGGAAGATTTAAACCGGTATTCAATCTATATTTCACCTATCATACAAAGATCTTGCATATATATTTTATATTGTACTCAACCCCCTCTCTATATATCTTTCCCTCGAATTCTCTATTTCTAAAATTCTATCTCATGATATTGTCTCTGTTAAGTCACGTAATTCGCTAATGGTTTCTCGCTCCCAAGCTCTGTGCGAATAGGTTGCATTTACTGACAATAAACGTTTCTTGTTTTTTGTTTTGAATCCCTAAAAAGGCAAAACAAAAACAAAATTTGTGTTTAATAATATATTTTTATTTTTTTATAATAGAAAACGTTTTCTATTTTTTTGAAGAAAAGAGAAAACATAAAATAATAATAATAAAAAAAGTGTTTCGTATGTTTTTGGCACTATACCGCGAAAATGTTTTTACTATTGTTACTACACACACTATTCATTTCAAATAAAATTCTTGTTATATAGTAATGTTATATATTAAATACTAATAAAAAATATATTTTTAAATATATAATATATTATATAATAGTGTAAATTATTTTTTTATTTGACAAATTATTATTAATATATCTTATATAATAGAGTAAACTATTTTTTGACACAAATATTTATGACTTTTTATATATTAAATCAATACATATTTTATGTTATTATATGTCATATATATATATATATATATATATATATTATATGTGAATATTAAATTATAAATAGTTAATAATATTATAATACATTATATATTTTATTCCATATAAGATATATCTTTTAACATTTTTTTTTATTATAATATATTATATGTTAAATATATGTATATCACATAATAAATGTATACATTATGCAAATACATATATTTATATACATAATTAATGAGACCATTTTTTTTTTTGTCTTTGTATATCTTATATTGTATTATTAGGATATATGATTTTAAATTGAATATTATATTTTAAGGCTTTCAGAACTAAAAATAAAATAAAATATTGTGTATATCGTGTAACAAATATGTATTATTAAATATTGTTATTGTTATATGCTTTTAAAATCGTGGCAACAAGTAAAGCATTTATGCTTTATATTTTTACTCAGAAAAATAAAATCGTGTTTTTATTTCCTAAAATTGCAAAAACAGAAAATGAAAACGTTGTTAAGTGCATCCTTGAGGTAATTTCAATTTTCAATCAGCGAATTGTGCTCGGATTACACACGTAACCCAAAGGCAATGATAACATAGTTCGCACTTACGTGCGTCCACATACATGATGTTTTTTAATGGAAAAAAAAAACGCATAAACCCAAATGTGTCAGATTACACGTTAATTATTTGTTACTCACCCATTACTCATTAGGTAGTCTTTTATTATTAACCTAGCTATTTAAAAATATTAATAATTTAACACTTCATATAATTAAACAATAAAAAAATCATAAATAAATATTTGATTATTGTTAAATAATTTTGTATTACAAATATTAAACAAAAAAGAATATTCAATAAGTTACAATAATATGTATTAAATGGAATAAATAAATGTATATAAACAAATGTAAAGACCCTCCAAAAACACTCGCTCTTAAATAAAAAATATGCCAGTACTTTTGTATTGTTGTCACACTCACTCCATATGACTTAAGTAATAACATAATAAATAAAAAAAATGTTTTGTGACTAATGTCTCACTCATTCCATGTGACTTAGGTAATAACATAATCACATTTTATAATAGACTATTGTTCCCTTAAAAAAACATTTAAAAAATTCATTCTTGCCCCCCTTTACATAATTTTCTACGTCCATTATCCCTGTAATGGAGAGAACAATAAATAAATTAATCAAACAAAATCAAATATATATATATATATATACAAATTCGTTTTCAGCGGCCACTGGGTTAAGGAGGACAAAATAATTTTTATCATTTAAAGACAAGAAGCCTGAAAAACATAAGTGTAGTTACGCTATTGTATTCAAAATTTATAAAGTATTTAATAATTTAAAAAACAATTACTATGAAATAAATTCAAAAACTTAAAATACGGGCATTAGGAGTCTTTTTGGAAACAAGTTCAATTTTGCATTTTTTATTTCTTCTTGAACAAAAACAAAAACATGTTTGGTATCTAATTTGTTACACAATGTTTCATAAAAAAGTGTTTGAATTATTTTTAAAATGGTATTTATATTATGTTGTTTTAAAAATTAAAAAAAAAAAATTCAATTTTAAAATGGAATTATTCTTAACTTCACTTATTCTCATCTCCCGAGAGAAAAACAAGTGCAGCCGTGCAGGACCAGAGGGTCCATAGGAGTTTATCCATTCTTTTCCCGCCTTATCATTTTATTTCTGTCCAAGAGAAAATGTAACGCTGGAACTTGGAAATTAATGACTTGCCTTCCACTTTGCACAAAATAAGAATAAATTATTAGAACCGCATCCCCATAAACTTAATTGGTTGGAAATTTCTAAGAAGGGTAACATAAGAATGAAGCCAAATCACAAGAATGAATTTATCCATATAGGATTGCTTGCATTATTCCTCACCTCGGTGGTACCCCATTAACACGTAACCAAAAAGCTGCGATGCATCACCTGTTTTTTTGGTATAGAAACTAAGGAAATGTTTTTCGTTACATGCTCAAAATAAAATAGCATAATGTCACTGATTTGGAGGCGTGTCAATAAATTATCATTTATATATATATATATATATATATATATATTTATTTATTTAACAAGAAAGTAAGAAATATATATATTTAACAAAAAAACTCACATACTTATTTTATATATTTGGAGACTTAAATCATTAACTTTTTACTTGGATCTTACCGGCGTAGCGTGATAATGAGCTATTATTTATTTATACATATATCTATAACAAGAAAGTAAGAAATATATATATTTAACAAGAAACTCACATACTTATTTTATATATTCGGAGACTTAAATCATTAACTTTTTACTTAGATGTTGCCGACGTGGCATGTCAATAAGCTATCATTTATTTATTTACATATATATTAGGAGACTTAAACCAGGAACTTTTTAGTGTATATAAGAGGACTTGTTCCATATTCTCTCATTTCTATCGTTTATAGTTTTTATAGAGTTAATTACCAAAACATTTCTATAGTATTACTAATTAAAAAGTTCAGTGACTTTGTTGTATTCCAGAGGTATTTGTCAATAAGGAACTCTTTTGTTGTTGGGGGCAAATATCTTACTGAAAAAGCTGGGAAAACAAAAAAACACCTTAAGGAAATTATTATTAATTATATATGTGCCTCAAAGTCAATAAAAAATAGGGACGGCCATTTGAATTATGTAGTGTCATCAACAGTATTGAGGGTCTAATTGCAACATATTTGACCCTTTGTTTTCTTAAAAATGAAGCATTCCAGCAAGAATCACATTTTTGAGTCATGATTGATCGCACAAAGATAAGATCGACATATGGAGTTGTTTTCTTACAAGGACAGCTTTCAATTCAATTTCTTTATAATGAGCAATTAATTAATACCCTCTTAGGTCAATACAAATATCCATCATTTCATCACAGTTGACATTATACATAGACTGACCAACTCAAGTTTAAAAAGTTCACCTCAATTGAATATTCGAATTCATACATAATTTCTTCGTCCAACTCTCCTCCATGCATATTGTCACAGAAACATTTAATCATGAAATTGACGATATGCTTTTACCTTTAATATTCAGAAGTGTGAACCTTTAAATTGAGCTAGACGCGTGTAATGTGCCCGTAATATGTTGGGTAAAAAATAATAATGCCCCTAAGATTACATATGAATTGAACTTGAGTCACCATAATATTTGATAGGAAAGTTGCAAGCAACTTAAACCCGGGATTGCAAGTGAATTGAGCTTAATTTGATAAACTATATAATAAATAGGTCAAACTCAAGTTTAAATTATGCACACATATGGTAGTTGAAATATTTGAATTTGAATGCATGTGATAATTTCTTTTACTAGTTTTATAAAGTTTCATATAAATTTATCAATAAAATAATAGAATATAAATTAAAATTAAATGTATTTTTTAAACTTTAAATAATGTATTTCAAGGAAATGATTAAGTGAATCAGCCAATGCAGGAAGCATGGAAGATTAAATTCAAGCTTAGTTTTAATCCCACCATTATTCGTTTAGTACATAATACTAGATTTTAAAAATCTGTGCCATCTGACAAAGACTTGAATAAACTCAAATAAATTATTGTCTCAAATTGGAAATAACCAAAGCAATCATGGAAGTGTAGAACGAAACCTCTCCATCAATCAATTAGTAGATTTTTTCACTTTGCACAAAAAAATATATTTGTGAACCAAAATTCAAACACATAAGGTAACCGTAATCGAAAATTTTGAAGCAATCAAGAGTGAATGTAATTGAGAGAGATTAATTGAAAGAAAAATTTTCATTGTAATCATTCTTTTTTTTTTCTTAATGAAATTTGTTCGGTGTCATGTGTGAATTTAGCATTTCAGTTTTGAATAAATCACATATATATGTTGTGTTAATTGTGCATATTTTTTATTGCTTGTGTGTTTTACTTCTCAAATATAGTTATTTTGCTTTTCCACTCACAACAATTGGTATCAAAGTATCAACAATAACTCCACCCAATTATTCCCAATGAAAAAACTTAGTGGAAAAATTATGTCTCACACATTCTAAAAATTAAGAGTTCAAATATTATTTGCTCACTCAATTTCAAATATTTATTTTAATAATTATATGTACATATGGGATGGAGTCCTGCATATGTCTTTGACAAAAAAGCCTACAATACTTTAAAATATTTACACAGCTATGAAAATACTCATTTTCAAATTTTATTCTTTGATATTTATAGATGGAATCTATACTTGAGTTTATCTGCACATCCAATAGATAAAATTCGCCACTGACAAATAAACAAACCCCTTCACAATGAAGTGGTAAAGAGCTAGGTGAGTTTTAATTACATAAAAATAAAATAAAATAAAATAAAAAGGAAAAGATTTGAGTGGCAATTTGTGTAAATTGGCATAGAAAGCAGCCAAAAGTATTGATATGTTAAAAAGGAAGATGCTTGGCATGACAACCAAAGACGAACTGGTAACGGTACCTTCGCATGCAATTTCGAGGAAGCTAGGAGAAGCCCAGACCTTTTCTTTTGCCACCAGATAGATATATGCCTCCATCTCTGCTGCTCTGCTGCATGAAATGCCCACGAAATTTATTAGCAAAATGCGGGCAACAAACTCCTGACCTCTTAACCGTACCTTCGTTGTCATCACCTTCTTTCCCACTCTTTCCACGAACACTTCATTCTTGTTAATTTCCTCTTTTCCATCCTATTTATATTCTTCCCAATCCAACCCAACACATTACCAATCTCCTATATCCATATACTCAATTCTCCGCTCACTACCCCATTAATGGCGTCCAAAAATGGTGTTGTTTTCGAGGATTTCTTTCCTTCCATGGTGGAGAAACTAGGCGCCGAGGGATTTTTGGGTGAGCTTTGTAATGGGTTTCGTTTGTTGATGGATGGGGACAAGGGAGTCATCACCTTCGAGAGCTTGAAGAGGAACTCCGCCGCGCTAGGGTTGCAGGGCATGAGCGATGATGAGTTAATGAGCATGTTGAAAGAAGGTGATTTGGACGGTGATGGCAGCTTGAACCAGATGGAGTTTTGTGTTCTCATGTTTAGGCTGAGTCCTGATCTCATGGAAGGATCAAGAAGGTGGTTAGAAGTAGCACTAGCTAATGATATGTAGTAGGCTTTTTAATTAAATTAATTTGTTGTTTCCAACTCTTTCTCGATCTCTCTCTTGTATCCGCGTCTCTCTCTTTCTATTGTACCTTCATTTTAGATTTATTGCAGCAGATGAGTTCCTTGAGTATTCATTTTTCTTTTGTCTTTTATTGTGAATATTCTTCTTTTTATTGGTGGATCAATATGACAGATATTAAATTTTTGTTCTCCATAAAATCAAGATTGATAGAATCAACAAGTATACTGTGTTATCCAGATATAATTCACAATTAGTGTATTATGTCCTCTTATTATCATCATCGTCTTAATTCTATACATGTGTACGAAACATATGTCTACTCTGTTATGTCTTCTCACATGTGTTCCCATTTTACATCTTATAAGTAAGTTTATTATGAATTTATGAGAGCTTTAGGTGTAGTTTATAATTATTGGAATGATAAAAACAAAAAACACATGAAAGAACTAGAATGATAACTTTTTCTTTAATCTTATTATCAGGTGCATCTCAAGGTGCATTGACTATAATAATAAGGGAGAGATGTTGAGAATAAAAAGACCAGTGTGAAAAACCTTATTACTCTCAAATTCAGAGGTAGATGATCTAATTAACTTAACTATGTTATAGTATATTAATTAATTATAAGGAGAAAAAAAGGTTTTTGCAATCACAACATTTGAAGCGCCAACGGATATACCAATGCACCAGAAGCATCCTCCCAATGCACAAGAAAATTCCAATTAACATTAGAGATATTAGTAGTTTTTCCATATTTCATTAAATAAACAATCATTATTTGATGTAGTTGTAGTTAATCAAGGGGTGTTGGGAGATAGTGTGAAGCCCACTACTTTGAACATTTTATGTTTGAAAAGTCAAAATCATCAACATTTGAAAAGTCAAACATCCCCTTTTAAGTGGGTGAGTTATTTAGACACATCTGATATTCTGGTGCCTACTCAATTGTCAAAAGGTTTCTTTTTGGGCCGGGCTTCAAGATCTTGCAACTCGGTCGCCCATCTTCTATGAAGTATGAACAGGGCAAAAGTGCTCTGCATATTCAAAATCGATTTATTTATTTATTTATTATTATTATTTATTTAATTTTTTTTTATAAAAAAAGAATCATATTCGACTTGTTATCTCCTTCCACACCAACCTCAAAGATTAGGGTTCTGTCCGTGTCTGAAAAATGGGAATGCCTCGTAGACAAAGAACCAACAACCTCGCTTTCTTCACCTACGATGAGAAGTGGAAGCTAGGGTACGGAACTCAGAAGGAGAGGCTCGCAGAGAATCGACTAAGCCATTCGACGCTTGTTGCCTCTGCTTGAAGCCATTCATCGACCCTTTCTGTCGCCAGAAAGGTCGATGTCTTCGCTAAAGGATGCATTCTCGAGTGCTTGTTGGCTCAGAAGAAAGACATTCAAAGGTTATTTCTACTCTTATTTTGGTTCATATTGTTCTCGTTCTGATGAAATTTTAGTATGAATTAATTAAACTGGTCTTTCTCTCATTTTGAATCATCCGTTATATATATATATATATATATATATATATATATATATAATATGTTGAATAGCATATCATTAGATGCAGGTTTAGGGTTAGAACCATCCACAAAACCTAGTTTATTATTGGCAGATAAAGCCATTAACATTGCACGGTACCAAGTGATATAATTATCACCACTAAGGAGGTTCGAAATGATGCAGAAAAAATGGATTTGCAAGATTATTATTCTCAACAATATTGGTGGAAGTAGATGAAACTGTCGTGCGAAAGCGTGGTCCAACAAATAAACTAACAGTGATTGTGATCACACACTCATGAAATAAATAGGAGAAAACACACACACAAAAGGAAGACAAGGATTTACGTGGATCGGCAATATGCCTATATCCACGGGCAGCTCAAGATCAATACACTAGTATTCAAAACCCAAAAGGCTTACAAAAGAGAAATTTATACAATATTTCTCTTCACTCTAATTGCTCACCAAAGCTCTCTGCTCACTTTCTTGGATATTCTTCTGAATTTGATGCCTTGAACCCATGAGATACAAGGGCTATTTATAGCCAAAATTTAGCACCATGCAAACGTATGCAGTGATGTTAAGAGATTAGAGAATTCAACAAATCTCCACCTTGGCGAAGATTATGTACACCTTTCCCAAAATGAAGTATTCCAAAAGCATGATCTTGAACGGCCTCCAAATGCGCCCAAAGGCGCTCAAATTTGCAGGATGTTAAGAAAGTCTAAGCAGTGCTCAAACTTGATCTTAGTCACAACCTTTGTCAGTATATCTGTGGGATTATCCGCAGTCCTAATCTTCTGAAGGAGACTGTCGCCTTCATCCAGAGTCTCACGAACAAAATGGACGGACGTCGATGTGTTTCGTACGTGAATGTTGAACTTGGTTCTTTGCCAAATTGATTGCACTCTGATTGTTGCAATAGACATGCTCCTGAAGAATCCCCAAATTCTCAATCAACCCATGTAGCCATACGGCTTCCTTAATGGCCTCTGTCACTGCCATATACTCTACCTCTGTAGTAGACAAAGCAACTGTAGGTTGTAATGTCGACCTCCAACTTACCGGTCCACTAGCAAGTGTGAACACATAACTTGTAGTTGACCGATGTTTATCCAAATCACTATCGTAGTCCGAATCCACATATCCAACCAAATGCTGACCAAGTCTATCATCTCGCTCAAATTTTAAACCAATATCCACAGTACCTTGGATGTACCGTAGAATCCATTTCACTGCCTGCCAATGCCCTTTACCAGGGTCATGCATATACCTTTTCACCATACTAATGGCCTGTGAAATATCAGGTCTTGTACACACCATTGCATACATCAAGCTTCCAATTGCACTTGCATAAGGAACGTGAGCCATAAACGCATGCTCTTCATCTGTGCTTGGAGATAATGAAGCACTAATCTTGAAATGAGGGGCCAAAGGGGTACTTATAGGTTTAGTTTTTGAATCCATATCAAGTATCTTCTTAGCTTCACCAAGATCCTTCATCTCGAACTAGTACTTAACTGAATATTCAACTTATTAATTTCAACTTTGCTCTTAGATGTAATCAACATATCATCAACACATAAGAACAAATATATAAAGGATTTATCATGAAGCTTACAAAAATACATACAGTGATCAAAATGGCTTCTTGTGTATTGTTGCCCTTTCATGAACTAATCAAATCGCTTGTACCACTGTCTTGGACTTTGTTTTAACCCATTTAGCAACTTTCTCAGTTTGCAAACCCAATTTTCCTTATCAGCAACCTTGAATCCGTATAGCGGAGACATATAAATTTCCTCCTCCAAATCACAGTGTAAGAAAGCAGTTTTGATATCAAGTTGAGCTAACTTAAGATCAAACTGTGCAACCAAATCTAGCAAAATTTGAATGGAAGAGTGCTTCACAACAGGTGAAAATGCCCCATTATAGTCAATCCCTTCCTTTTGCGTGTAGCCTTTTCGCCACCAATCTAGCCTTGAATCTCACACAGTCTTCCTTTTCCTTCTTGGTGTAGACCCACCTTTCTAGATGGTCTAACTCATGGCTCAAGATTTCAACCAAGCATTTTGAATTCATGCACCAGCGGCAGCAACCCATGTGCATCGGAATTCTCTAGTCTCTAAACATCACTGCGTACGTTCGCATGGTGCTAAATTTTGAGTCATGAGTTAGACCATCTAGAAAGGCTGAATTTTGAGCCTCATAATTCAACAAAAACTGGGTCTGATCAGTAGTCATGTTGATTAAGAAAAAAATTTTAAGATGTGTCAAAAAGCCCCTTATATATATATATATATATATATTAAAGATGGGAAATGTAAATTTGTAATATAGAAAGAAATAGAAAGAAATTAAGAGAAACAATAGTGGCAATAGGGACGACCAACAGAGAGACCAGTTAGATTGGAGATATATAGGTTGAAACCTTTGATCAGATCTACGGAAAATAAAAAGAGAAGGAAAAAAAAAGAAGGAAAGTAAAACAAGAACATGGCCTAGAATGTAGGGCCATGGCTTCTACCATTTGTGAAACTACATGGTTAAATTATCTTTTCAAGGATTTGGGTGTCAATATATCCAACCCTACTACAATCTACTGTGATAGTCAAGCAGCTCTTCACATTGCTGCTAATCCCGTCTTTGCATGAGCAATCTAAACATATTGAATTAGATTGCCACCTTGTTTGGGAAAAGATACAAGCTGGTTTCATCAAAACATCTTACGGTCATACTACTCAACATGTTGCTAACCTTTTCACTAAAGCTCTTGGTCGTGATCAGTTTAAAGTTTAAACAACTTATTTCCAAGTTGGGCATTCATGATATCTATGCACTAAATTGAGGGAGAGTATTGACATTGGCACTTGGCCGCCTTAGCCTCCAGGTTTAATTGGTGGCTTCCATGTTTGAAGATTTGGTGGGGGACTTGGGCAATTAGGGGTATTACATGCATCCCTTTATTTTTGGGATTTGCCTTGTACATGAGTAATGAGTTGTATATATTGTCATGTTGTAAAAGAAACTAAAAGTATGAGAGAATTCAAAGTTTTACAGCTTTTATATCAAGCCAATTTTTGAGTTCCTCTCTTCTTGAATATACTCTTTTGTTTTTTTGAAAGGTATTGAATATACTCTTGTTGGGGCCTCTTATTGTTTTCATCAGGCTGGTGTGGTGGGACAGACAAGAAGTTTTAGTGCCAAGGACTTTTTTTTTTCCATGCATCAAGGTCTGATCTTCTACAATGGGAAAGGCTTCATGTTAGATTATACAAAATGTAGTGAAGCTTAACAGCTATTTTTAAAAAAATTCCATTAATGTTTGCAAGAAAAAAGATCTTAATTTTAGCAGTGAGTGACATTTAATCACTTATATTGTTTAATACAAGTAATCATGGGAAGATGGGCAGGGGCAGGGGCAGGGGCGGTTAAGAAAGAGATGAAGCAAATTTACTGTGTATCAATAATATATCCAGTACTTGGTATTATATTAAGATCAGACATTCTGTATGTTGGCTTAAATTTAAAAACTAAGATTATGTTGGCTTAAATTTAAAAACTAAAATTATGATTTAAATGACTTGTTTGATTGGATGTATCATGTGAAGTTTTTTGTCTTGATGTATGCGGACTTTTACACGCTAGAAGATGTCATGTCCACATTGTTTCGGTTTGGAAGGATTTATATATCCTTAGTATGTTGACGGGAATTTGGTCTTTTCTCAGTAGTGGAATATATATATATATATATATATATATATAGCAGGCACTTTTTTTCGTAAATTTGCTACAATGATCGTAATCCTGTGAAGGTGATAAATTGCACTTGAGAAGTTAAATTTGAAGCCTATAAAATTTCGCCAGAAAAATGGAAATAAAATGAAAACTGTTCTTCACACTACCCTTATCAAGTTACATTAAAATGCATGTCTGCCAAATTCTTTCTATATCTGTTGTACTGTGTGATGAATCCTATGCTTGGTTTCTCATTTGTTATGTCAATGCCATGGTGGAAAGTACGTTTTGCAGAAATCTAGCTGCCCATGCTACACAGCAAAAGCAAGACAAAGAAGAGGAGCAGGAAAAATTAATGCCACAGAAAGCAAGAGCACTTGATGCATTTGGTCAGCAAAACCACAGTGCAATGCCATAATACAATGACAAAAACTATAAGAGAGACAAAAATGGTTTTCAGGGGGCAAACAGTGTGAAGGCAACATCTTATGAAGAGGAAACGCTCCGAACCATGAAAGCATTTTGGCTGCCGTATGCTACACCGGAGGCTCCTCTTAAAGTGGAAGTCCCATTCACTAATACAATTTGTCCAGAAGGCAAAGGAAAATTCAAGCTGAAAACCCTCTTCCTTATCTACTTCACGGAAGACATCAACGAACAGAAGTCCTAGTCTTTTGATAAGACCTTCATTTGTCCAAGTTGCAAGGTTACTCTAACGAACACAGTCAGTTCGTGGCTGTCACGAAAAGTTTTATTTGGTCTATAACAAGGGATGTAAAGCGGAATATGTCGTGCCTGGAAAAGGTGGAACAGGCTTTGCTGGCCATGATCATCTTAAAGCAACTGACTTCAAGCATTTGGGCAGTGGAAGTGGATTGGGTCTGGTGAGACCTGTAATGAAGATGTGACAGCGGACTGAGATGATTTAGTTTATTATTTGTACAATATATAATTTCGTTTTGTCGATGTTATTTGGATGGAAATGTTCCATTTTATGCAATTTCAATTTATTTTATTTTTTTGGGAGCTTTGTGTCACAAGATAACAATCTGAAAGCATAGTGGTTATATGGAACCTGATGAATAGTTTTTGATGTAGCTGATTCAGTTTTCTGGTTCTCATATTTGGAATACTAATTGTATCTGTGGTTTTAGTTTCTTGCCAGTGTCTTTCATTTCGAGTATTATCTGTCCTAAACCTTGTAAGCTCCAAATAACTGTTTTAGTGAGAGCTGTTATATATACTGGTGCACAGAGGTTTTTAAAAAGCTTATGGCTGTCTGAGTTCTACGAGGTGATCTTAGCTTCTTCACAATTGCAATTTTTTTTTTCCTTAAACAATCAAGGTGAGATTTATTCTTTTCCATGGATGCATCCTCATTGCATAGTCACCTGCCATCTCCACTAATCCAACAACACATTTGTAATGTCAAAGAATAAATTGCGAGATGTCATGCAGTCAAAAGATGCCTGAAAATTAATATATTTTGATTGAATATCATTTTGTGATTATCAAAATCACGTGGTCTGCGCTAAATAATTTCTTGGAATTGTTTAGTCAAAACATTATCCATGTCACATTGACAAGGCCAAACAATGTCTTAACAGAATACCTTTAAGCACATGGGTTGGTTCAGATATAAATGAAGCTTATCTAAACATATGCCCATTCGCCTATAATATATGTGTATATTTATATATATAAACCCATTACATTAGATATAACTATATTTTACGATTTACAGGTTTACAACTCAGGATCGGCTGGTGAGTGGCATCTGACGGCACGCTGTTCTTTTCTTTGTCCGTTCTCATACTTATCCGCTAAGCTACGTTTTCGTTCAAACCCCCCCATTAAATTAACATGTTTGGCGTGGGGAAGGTAGATATAGGTTAAAAACACAACTGCCCACTCTCATTAAATCAGTCTTCTTTGCCCACTAAAATATATATTTTATCCGGACTTAAGACCGTTAATTTGTTAGTTCATGATAAATTAAATCCTCCTATATTGACGTTCTTACGTGGCAACAGCTGGACCGTCGTTGTCTAGGGCCCACATTCTATTATTACGCGCCAAACATCCACTGTCTCCTCCTCCCATTAACCCCATTGCCCACTAGCCAAAAATGCAAAGCCCCCATTACCCCCATTTTAAAACAAAACACTAAAAAAGAAAAGTGTAGCAGAGTATATATAGAAACAGATAATTGTATATATATATATAAATTTGTATAGAGAGAGAAAGAGAAACCCTAATGGCGGAGTTGGCGAAGAGGGAGACGGTTGGTAACGGCGGCGTGGAGGATGAGGAGGCGGCGAAGTTATTGGAAGGAGTAGCAGTGTTGGATTTCGATGTGCTGTGCTCGACGGTGGCTATGCAGACGCAAGGGAAAGCCATAAAATTGAACAGTAATGATGAATACGAGGAGGGTGGAGGAGAATTTGGGGGTGGAGTTCTGAGGATGTGGGAAGGTGAACTTCTCCATTGCTTCGAAGATCATCGCATCGCTCTCCAATCCACCTGGTTAGTAATTTTCCTCCTCATTCTTTTATTTCCATTTAATTAACAATAACAATATATACACATATAGATTCATATCTAAATGAAATGTTGTTAGGGGTTAAGGCACGAAATTTTTGAAAAGGAACAACCTTTCTTTTGTTCCTGGCAAAAGAAGAAAGGGGTTTCAACTAAAAGTAAATCTACCATATTTTCTATAAGATTTCTTTTTCTTTTTTTTTTCTTCTCTTTTATTTGTTTATTTTATTATGCTGAGTTGCTGAAGAGTCAAATAACCGATTTCCCTTTTTTTTTGTTATATATTTTTGTTGCTTCAACTGATTTGTGATTGAGAAGTGCATGTTTTCAGCTTACGAGATGATGATATCAATTGGCACTCACCTGTGTGTGTATATATATATAATATAATGTTTATTTGATAACCATATGCATATATGCATTAGGTAATATGCTTATAGTAGGATGAGAGTCTGTCATGTAATGCTAAGAATCATTTCTCTCTATCTTGTATGTTTGATGTTGCAGTTGTCCATGCTCTCGATTTGGGAAAAACATGCGTAGAGCTGGTTTTGGTTCTTGCTTTCTTCAGGTAAATCCATTTTCTTCTTTTTTGGTAATTGCGTGGACATTTCTTTTACTTGGTTCTAGTTTTGTGGGTTATGACTTGTATAGTTAGGTCCCTATAATTGTGACAATATTGTGCATGTATTGACTTTTAAATCCTCGCAATCAATCTGGTGGGCAGATTTGGGAATTTCATTTCAACCTCAAATATGCATTGTGTGTGTCAAAGTTTGGACTTTCAACCTTTTTAAATCCATATGATCAATCTCTTGAATCATTATAATCTATCTGATGTGTCGGTATACCTCAATTTTGTATAATACTCGTGTTGAACCTCGTGTCAATTGTATTGACAAAATTTGGGCATTTTTGTCATTTAAATCAATCTGAATCCAACCAGTATGGTTCCATTAACAGTCACTTGGCCTACCAACTTGTTCAAGTTTCAACAGCAAGTCAGGTTGAGTCAAATTTTTACTAAAACTTGTTAAATCTTTTTGTCAATGTTCTCCACATGAGCTGTCAGCAATCAATTCTTTTATATGTCCAAAGGGAGAATTGGCCTCATTTCTACTAATGGATATATCTATTAAATTTATTGTGTTCAGAATTGAGGATAGAGGATATATTAAGTTATGACATCATTTTCAGCCTGCATTCCTATTTCAGATATATTAGTTTTCATACTTTAAGCCACTTATCTATCTTTGATAAACTTGATCTGTTGTGATAATTTTGCAGGGAATGATTTACTTCATTCTAGCTGCTACTGTAATTTTCAACTGCATAGCTTTCATTGTCAGCAAGAGACGCAGCTTTTTGTATTTGTGTGTTGCATTTACCATCTCACTTGGAACATATGTGGGATTTTACCGTACACAGATCAGGAAAAAATTTAACATCAGGGTAAGCAATTCTGTCTACTGCTGTTTTTGAATTCTTTATTGTCTGATTGCTATTCTTAGATGCTGCATTCATTCAATTTTTTTCTTGTTTCAATTATATATATTCAACTTTCTATTCATTTGCTATGTCACTACTCTTATAAGTAAATCTCTGGGATGGCTCTACCAATTTTCTGAAGAGAAAATCAAGTGAAGCCATAGACTAAGCAAGCTGTGTTTTCCTTTTAATTTGTAATTTCTTACGGTTCCTTCAAATTCTGTGCCTTTTAATGACTCTTGTTGTGAGATTTGTTTACCTGATTTTGTGAATGTTTGATTGTCTACAAACTGAGATCCTTTCATAGAGGTATATTTCATGGGACTGTTTGGACATTCTGTAGAAATTGAATCAAGACATTGTGTTTTTACTTGCATTTGAAATGTATTTTATAAGCATTAAGAAAGTCTTATGTGTTTTTACTTGCATTTGAAATTAGGACATGGTTTTCTACGGCATTAAGCAAGTCTTATCTCTTTTTATAGCAATAATATAGAACAAGATTTGAAGTCCTGTTTTATATAGCCGCTATTTATTTAATTTGCTGATTGCATTGATGACTCCACTTTACATAACCATCTCTTGTGCCTGTCTCCGAATCTCATGTCCTTGGATACTCTGGTGATGCCATGGAAGGTGGCAGCTCTCACTAAGACGACAAGAAGTGTTACTAGATCTAGAAAGAGGGAATTAGGTTGTCCTTGAATTCCTAACCTATTGAGGGATACCTCTTACCATTTTTTGTATTCTTTGCTCATGTGGCTTTACCTGAGTGCCGTCTATATTTGGTGAAAACTTTATGTTGAGTAAACATTATTTTGGCTTGAAATTTTTTTGAGGTGTCTTGAGTAGTTTCCCTTTTGTCATGTATTGCATGTTCATCATCTAAACCTTTTTCTTTGGAATATATCTGAATTCTGGTTGATTGAACTTATGCTGTTTAAATGGAAAGTGGTTCAAAAAGTGCACCAACTTTGCTTTGTTATAAGACTGATTACATTCTTAACTTTCTGATTCATGGATTTTCTTCCTGATTTTTCCCTTTTTTGTGGGTTCTGAAAAGTGTATATGAATTCTTTACTACTTGTGTCCCCTTATCTAATGACATTTTTAGTTAATTTTATGTCATAATCACACTTGAGTCGTACTGACACCTTTTAATAATCATGTTTGTATGTAGGATACTGATAGTTCTTTGGATGACTGTGTCTATCATCTGATTTGCCCCTGCTGTGCATTATGTCAGGTCGACTCCTATGCATCCTTTGATTCTGTAATTTTAACTATGATTAAATAGTACTGTTAAGAAAAAATTGATTAAAGGTCATTAGTTCTAGCATGAACGGGTCTTTAAAACAATTTGTGGGATGTTGTTTCCTGTACCTGTTAATCTGTAATTAATATTCTTGTAATTCGAAGCAGGAGTCCAGAACTTTGGAGATGAACAACGTCCAAGATGGCACTTGGCATGGTCGGGGTGACACAATTTGCATAGGAGGCTTTGGTGAAGGTAGCAAGCCATGCTTTCAGCTACATCCACCTCCTGTTATGTCAACAAAGTCTCCTGAACCCAACAGCATGCAAAAAACTACAAATGCTAGTGATCATGCATGGACTCCAGAAGTTTCACATTCTGTGCTTTTGGTCCCACCATCCAGGTAGCAGCTACTTCTCTGAATTGTGTCGACTTCCAGACAAACAAACTTCTGCAGATTGCATCGGATAAACTCCATTACATCCGGTATGTTGGGGGGGTAATCGACTTGGACTTGGAGCAATGCTGCTTGGCCATAGAGCTGTGCTTTTTCCAGTTTCGGAACGGGTAACATGTTGCAAAAAAACTGCCGTGAGTAAGATGACTGTAGTTTGATGTGAATAAGGAAAATAGTGTATTTATTGAAGCATTGGGGTGATTAGAACAGCCCCTGTTTTCAGGTCATTGTCAGTCAAGAATAATGGTGGAAATGCATCATTATTGTTGTGTTAATAACAATAGGAATTTAGGTTATTTGGTCTAGTTTAGTTGGCTAGGGCTTGAATCATACTACTGAATGATATTGAGTCCATTCGTCCCTCTATGCAAATTGGCTTGGGAAAGAAATTCACATTTGCATTATTTGTTTACATTTTATTTGTTGTTGGTGACACAGTCTCTCGCCTGGTAGCACTTTGTGCCGTGTGCTTCGCTGGTGGTGCGATGGTCAGGTCTGAGAACCTGCAGCAGATGGAGTATGCTTGAGTGGGGCGTGTCCTGGTGGAGAGAGCATGTGTGCTCTTTTGCTGTTGTTCATGGGTATGCACTTGTTGGGTGTGGGGAAGAGGGTAAGTAAATCACAGAATAGCAAAGTAGGGCTATATATTTCATGGAGATTTGGGGAGAATTTTTAATCCTTGGATCACTGTTTGATCATTTTGAAATAATTAGTGTTTTCTGTCCTCAAATGCAAAGGAGAATAAATGCCCTTTTGAAAAATCTTGAATTTTGTGAAGCCAGATTTTGAAATCATTGTCCATTGTGGAAGCAATTAAGAAATTGAATTTGCAAAGCAAGAAATCTTCCAAAGTTGAGAAAGATGCATAGAAAGCTTCTTGTTCCGATAAAGAACAAGCCTTGGAAGCTCTTTTAAGCCCAAGAGTATCACCAAATAATGGAAAATGATAGATGACTGCCAAGAAAAGAAGAGGGGAAGAAGATAACTGTAGAAGAATCTAATTCTATGATTTGTATCAGAGGAATAAAAATAAAAGTTTAAAGGATGGTTTTGAGACACGCAATATAAAGGCCTACAGAATGGACAGCCTGTATTGATTGATAATCTTGATAGACATGGCCCTACAAGCATTTGTCTTTTGGTGATGAAAGAGCTCTTGTTTTGTGACTGGTGGACTGAATCATTGTATGGACCGACCTTGTCATGTATTTTCCTTTTTTCGTTTCTTTTTCTTTTCCTTTGTTTTTTCGCAACAAGATGGCTGGAAAAAGATACCTGAATGCATTACTGGTAGGAAAATATATCACATTGACAACAAATGGCCGAATAATAAATGATCCTAGATCAGGTAATGCACTTAAATTTTTCTTTTTCCCTTTATTTTTTTTTTTTAATTTTAAAATTTTAGTTTAATTTATTTTTTTGTTTTGTTGCAAACATGTTAGATAGCCATAAGTTATAAATGACATAAATAAAAAGGTGACAAAAACTCTACCTAACAAAGCTTAATGCCAGACACCTCACACGTATAGAATTACCCTATTGATAAACACGTATGTCTATGTCAGGTCCATCTTTCAACTTGAATTCATCCAGATTTTTCTACGGATAAATTTATATGCTCTTTATGGATATAAATATCAATGTTTTTTCTACTTGAATTCATCCACACTCTTGGATAATTATCTTCTTCATTTCATTTTTTATGATCTGCTCGAATCAGTAGTGGTCTCAATTTGGCATTGAATTAGTTTTCACTACACATTCTTAAAAGCTCAATCAAGAAAAAAGGTTCACCAAATAATGTTAGAAAACACACCCAATAACCGAAGATAACAAAGAGCAAGAAATTATACAGAAATGACAACAAAGGTAATCAACAATACTGAACTGCAAGATGAAGAAAGAAAATAAGGTGTTGTTCGATAAAGTGGAATGCTTAAGATTCTTGCTGCTGCTGCTCATCTTGGCTAGTCTCAGTGGACTTCTGTTGCTGCTGCCGCTTGAGTTTGTCTTGAAGAAGTTGATCATGCTTAATTTGCCCCATCATTTTTGCAGCTAATGGAAGGCCAGCACACTTCTTTATGACTTCATCTTTCAGATTTTCCAGTTCTTTAGGGAACTCCATGTCATCTTCTGTAACAGTGTCTCTGAATATTAACCAGCAGCTCTCTTTGTCTTGAAGGGGCAAAAGGCGACGCAAATTCTCCTCACCCACCATGTCCTTTGCTAATTCCTCACTCCTGCTCGTGACGATGATTGTTCCCCCATGCCCTTTTGGGAGTCCATAGGCAAGTTTTTCTCCCCATTTATCATCATCATTAATGTGAGTTAACGAAGCACCCAACTTCTGAAGGCCCTCGTTGTTTTCGCTACAAGCATCATCAAGCACAATTAGGTACCTCTTACCCATCAACTGTAGGCGAAGAGCAAAGAGCAGCCCCGGAAGTTTATGATTCTCATAAACAGACTTGATGATATCCTCTTCCACTCCGAGGCAGACTAAAATTCTTTTAACAATCTCCTTCATTTCGTTGCTGTCGTCTTCATTAGGGTGTTTTGACAGACATACCCAAATCCGGGGAAGGAAGTGTTCCTGGACGACTTTGTTGTTGAAAGTCAACTGGCATAGTGTAGTTTTTCCAACACCACGCATCCCAACAATCCCAATTGCCTTGAAATCGTCTTGGCGCTCTCTCCGGAAAAGCAATCTCTCCATGGACATCTTTTCATGATCAAAGCCATGAACTTTGCTTTCATCTACTGACCTTGAACTCCACCGGTAAGCTTCTAATTTCTTTGGCAAACTTGCATCACCAGTAATGGGTACTACTGCAGGTGGACTAGTAGAGGTAGCAGTACTACCATTCCTGTGATGATCTGCAGTAGTTCCACTGCCTTCCCCACCTTTAAGACCCTTTTTGATCTTCTTTAAGGTAGTGTTCAAATTGATGGCGAGGAGTAGTGCCTCAGGGGAGTACGTTCTCTGCTTCTTTGTTAGCGTCAACCACTCAGTCAACACGTTATTGAGCTGGTAAAGCTTGTCTCTGGGTGGTTGTTGTTGTCTACCAGCCTCATTTGCTGCATCTGAAGCTGAGGAGAGCTTATCTTTTTTATCAAGCCAGACTTTCAAGTCGGACAATTGGGTATGAAGGGGAGCTAATTTGGAGAGTAGAAACTGGTCATTAGAGGTTGCTTCTTGGAGAGCATCATTAATCTTGGTTATTAGATCTTGTTCAATCTCCTCACCCATTTCACCTCTCTCTCTTACTCTCTCAAAAAGGAATCAGACCAATTGGGAGTAGGAGCTCACAGGAATTAAGAATGGTAGTTGACTTAGATCTATGGTATTAAGTATTAACAATTGCCACTCACAAAAGCCAGCTGCACTTTGATGCCATCTCACAAATTTAAAACTGGAAGAACCACTAATTTAATTAGTCAATGTTGACTTGAAATATATATATACCAGCATTGGTTGTTGATGTAAGGGATTTGGATTTTCCATCAGCTTATTAATAACACCCCATGAATTGACTCGTTGGGTAGGATCAAGGGTGTGGACGATGGTGGTGCCTTATATGGGCTGGATCAAGCCACAAATTTCACTGGGTAGGTCCCGGGCTAGTATTTTAGGTCTGGCCCAACTTGAGAGCCAACCCGAATAGTGAGGTGCAATAAACCGAGAGAGTGTCCTCCTTGCCTAGCCCAATAATTACCAGAACAAAACTCAACTTAAAAATTAGGAACAAAAATTTGTAAAATTAAAAGTTGCATGACCCATAATAACAATGATCCAGCATGTCAAAAGGGCCTATAATAAGATATTTAAGGTCTAAAATTTAAATATTTGTGCTTCTTCACATTACTTATTTTGGGCTTTGGTTTGTTCATGAGTTGGAGTCCAGCCCACATGGAGTAAGCCCACTTGTGCTTCAATATCTGGAGTCTAGTTAATGTATGAAGCGAAACACAGCCGTTTTTTTATCCAACGTTGAATTCTTCATACCAGACCACACTGGTTATGTTCTCAAAATTGTGCTTTCCATTGACCCCATTTTTACAACTCTTAAAAAACTTTAATGGCGTATTCTTGGACAAAAATGTTTGAGTAGATATTATGTGACCTAGAAATTTCCACTAAATGAAAATATATACTCCGTACAACATTCAATAAAATAAAATTGCAGTGCTATTCTTGCCGGGTCGGTACACACCAAAATATCTTCTCGTCGTTTTTAAGAAGCTAATGTCCTGGAAACTTCCTGCTTTGTCATGTATTTTCTTTCCCGCCGTTCCAAACCCGCATTCATTTTCTCGTAAAAATGTCCACTTCTAATTGTTCGCATCTGCCCTTGACCCGTGACTACACGTACAAGTACGGAAAATAAATATTTTTCTCTTCTTATTACACATAGTTCTGCCAACAAAACTATTATCACAACCATACATGATACATTGGTGTACCTTTGGCATCCACCGTGGTTTGTCTCAGCCCCGCTGAATCTGCGAAAAGTGGAATGCATGATCAGTGCAAACGCCGTTCAATCTCGGCCGTTTGATGTTATTGTTGTCTCTCTCTGCCATTAAAGTATCCTCCCTTTCGGTGTTTTTGCAATGGCGGTCCACAACACTAATCGGAGTCTTTGTTCTACTTGACACCACTGCATCAAAAACTGAATCGCACCCATCCATTACCATGTCCTGCATTACACTCGAGCATTTCACCAATTTCTCCTGCAATAATAGCACATTGATGAGTGAGCAATAATTAATGTATCAAATTATATCAGATAACTCAATAAATGTCAACCAAAGAAAATAATTGATCAAATGAGTGAGTAATATATTCCGTACATTACATACATATATTTAATATACTAATTGTGTGTGTATAGACAGTAGGCTTCTTACTTTATCAACATATTCACAGGAGAATAATGCCACGCCGAAGCAAGTATATTGCGACGGAAATAAGTCGCGAGACGCGCAGAGAAGTGCCGATGCTGCAATTAACGATGGTTTATACTCTAAAAGCTTCACTTCTGTAACAGAGATGATGATTGATAATTAGATTTCAAGCCATTTATGAACATATCTATCCGTTCCATACATATAATTAAGCATGTGTATGTGTATTCTGACAATGAAGTAAACTGATTACCGTAGTGAGTTTTGAAGATGATCTCCGAAGCTCGGTCTCTGAGACCTTGACTCAATTGCGGATCTTCGAGTTCCAATAATGAAAGGAAGAAACACAAAAACGAGAAAGGTGTAATAGAACGCATCCGCCAATTCAGAGTATTGAGAACGAGGACCTCCATTCGATTAATTGATTGTGCATTGAAGATGAAACCTTCCTCTCTCTGTTTCATTTGTGTCAATGACTATTACTACTTAATTACTCTGAATGATATGTTAGTTTTAAAAACATGCATTTCCAGTTTATTGACAATTACGTTTTTATTACCTGTAGTTCAGAGAGTGAAATTTCGGTGGTGTTCATCTTTGCAGCAACAGAGAGGCAAGAGATTACAAGCAGCCTTGCAATCCATGGCTTTCCTTGCTGCAACAATCAAAATCTACTACACATTCAATTCGTTTTCTGGAGATTAAGTATACTCAAATATATATGTGCATATATATAGAGAGACAGAGGGGTATGTATATGTATATAATTGTGTAGAGATACGTTAACAACCATCTACTCCAAATACTTAAGCAGAGGGTTTAATTTTAGTATTTAAATCCTTCAACAAAGATAAGAGTTTCACTATCAATTACCGGGATTTCTTGTTTGGAGATGAACCTATCAATGTAATTAACAGCGAGGTAGCATGTGAACGAGTCAAATTTGCAAGAGAACTTTTCCTGAAAAAGTGAAACAATTTTACAAGAGGAGAAAATTTTGTAATACTAGTGTAAAAAAAAAAAAAAAGAATAGTACTGTTCTTTATACCTGTAAAATGAGAGAAATAGCTTCTTGGCGAACAGAGGCAAGGAAGTTACTCCCTTTGAAGGAAAGTGAGGGCATATGATCTGATTCGTTGGCGAAAAGACGTGAAATTGTATCGAATTGGTGTTCCTGGAAGCTCATCAATGGATTCTCAAGATCGAACTCCATTATTAGTTTTAGAGTGAGAAAGTGAAAGCCATTGAAGAACAACAAAGAAGTTCACAGAAATCAAATGAATCAAAAAGAGAAGCTTTGCATTCTGCGCTGAAAAAGAAACTGTTGATGTAGTCTTTTACTGTTACACACTTCGCTCACTCAAGTCTTCAGTGTGTGTTAATTTATACCAGTCTCTGTGTGCGGGAAAATAAAATGGAACATTAAAAGGATTTATACTCTATGGTTATATGTGAATTAATTAGTAAGTTTTAGTTAAATGGAGGGAAATACATGTTGGATGAAGCTATTATTGATTTCTCTGACAATAGATTGGACAGGTGTAATGAGACCAGTAATGTATATATTAAATTGAATGTAGTATGGTAAGAGGAATATTCGTTGTTAAAATTTTATAACAGTAGACCATTTTGTTGCCAAAGGGTAAATCATACGGTAATAAACTAGTCACCTGTGGAGTAAGCCGTAAGCGTTCGCTGTGGCAAGACAACTCTCAAATATTATAATATACAAACATATATATTATATCATAATAGACATACGTACTTATATAATCTGTGATATTCTTTTTCTTTTTCTTTTTTTTTTTTTTTTTTTTGTATATAATTTTGTCATATTTAACAATGCGGCCTCTAAAATTCTCTTTTTCTAAAGTTCCCAAGTAAATATTTCTTATTTTCTTTTTTTAACACTTCTTCTTGTTCATCTTCAAATTTGTTTGATTATCTTCAAGAAAATTTGCACTCCAATCTTCAATTCTCATTTCAAAGTTCCCTCATTTTCTTTTCTTTTTATTTCTTTTTTTTTCTTTTCTCCTCTGCCCTTTAAATTTATCATTGTTGCACTTATGTCTCATATATGTGTAATAACATTTTTTTTCTCTCTTCTTCATGCAAGTAGTGGGTGACCAGTGACCACACGTACAAGTACGGAAAAGAAAGGAGGAGAATCCACCCTAACATTGTAGGGGACAGTTGTTCACATGATCCAGATCGAGAAGGTCCCTGACAACCATTCACTCGGAGTCCTATCATCTGGGAGCTGTAACACCAATTGATTATATTGATGGTATGCCATCGTGAGGGGCTCTACATGTGTCTCATGTGTGTCAAATAAATGGATAAATTATTTATTGGCCGAATCAATTGCTACGATATATATTCCATTAATTTACTTGTGTTTTACAGTCTAAATGCGAAACACATTTACAGCTCAGGACCCCACGATTTTAATGGTTCGCACCCGTTTAAATCTCCAATCTCAAAAGATATGGTTCACGTGCAAAACCTTCGTAAGATTTAATAAAATTAAAATGTATATTTATATATTTCGATGTATCTTTTAGCATCTAACCTCACTGCACGAGTTATGAACGAAAAAACTCACTGCATGAGTTGAACAACTGTCGTTAAAACTGATCTTATATAATTAATTTATTTTTCAGGTTCTTGTTAAATTAGAGGAAAATTCTCATAGCAGTTTGTTATGTTTTGTATACCTGCATCTAGGAACTTGCACCGACACTTCTGTTAAAGTACCGTAGCTGTATCAGATATTTGAACACTTTCAAGATAAGCAAATACTACTTGGACACATGTTACATAGCAAGTACACGGTTTTAGACACTTTCAGGATACAGACCTAGTGATTTTATAATTATTTATAAATAATAATAAAAAAATTCAACACAATCTAAAATATATTATGAGTTAATTAGAATAATAATATAAAATTTTAAAAAACAAAAAAAACAAAAATCTAGTTCTAAATTTAAAATTAGTGATTTTGTTATAATTATATGGATAAAATGGACAAAAAAATATTATATATATACATATATATATATATTGACGTATCGATTCCGTATTCGTATCCTTTTTTTTAAAAAAAATTACCATATCGCTATGTCTGTATTATATTATACTGGTATCTCATATCTATATCCGTACTTCATAGCCTACAACTCTGTGTACTTATAGAAATAGTTAGTTACTTCTCTGAATCTTTGGATTTTTGCTGCAAATTCAACCGTCTCCTACTACAATTTGCAATTAATCCTTGTGCATTTTTTATGCTTTTAATAATCCAAAGGAAGCTAGCATGAAGAATAGTATATATAGTTTTGTTCAGATTCTTTAAATTCAAGATCTTCAAAGAATATACTTTTCTTGGTGGAAATAGGGCTTCAAAAAAGTTGACTACGATAGTTAGATCATTCAATCATGTTAAAATTTATTATCAATGAATTCTCTTGGTGTTAACCCATCAAATTATCGCATGAATATTCTTTGCCTTTGATTCTCAATTCGGATATGCTAATTTAGATAGGTAAAATGTGTCAACAATAATTTGCTTTAGGTGGGTGAGAAACCGTTCCATTTTGGAACATGCATAAATTTTATTTATTAATTTTAACTCAAATCTTCAATTATTGAACTCTATATTATCATCATGATGGACTTATTCTTATATAAATAATGGAGTCCCATGTACTCAACATTTTAAGGTTATTAATAGTATGACAAAATGTATCGCAAAAAGTGATATAAAAAAAAATAAAAAAATAAAAAAAATTCCTTGTAATCAACCCCTTCATATAAGATAAAAAGTAAGGATTTTGTATATCTATATGTATGTATAAAGAGGGACGGAGTCAACATAGACCAGGGGCAGCTGCCTTAGGCTCATACTGGCTTATTAATATCTAATACTCTCTCAGTCTCTTAAAAAGTGTCATGTTTGAAGAATTATGACTCACAAAATCTTCCTCCAGGTATATAAAGTTCAGATTTGAAGAAGGAGACATGTGAACAGGAGGTGGGAAGAACCCAAAATGACTTTAGTGTTCAGTGTTCACCCACCTTAAATTGCCCCTGGAGAATGTACCTTTTGTATGACCTTTTTTATTTGTTCTCTCATTTATGTTTTAGCGAGTGTCTTCTTTGAAGTTCCAATGGATTCTCTGCATTTTATTGATGCAAGAGAAAGCCTAAAGTTTGTACATGACCCCATTTCCACTCATTAGGAGACCAATAGACTTTTACTTTTTTTCCGTTTTTATCTCTCTCCATTTTTTTACCATATGGTCATAATTATTTTATTATCAGTGCATATATGGCTTCACACCTTCAGCTGAAGCAAAGGGACAATCAAGTGGGCCTTCTCTCTTTATATACATTCAAGACAAATTCTAAAAACTAAATTATAAGTAAGACCTTATTTATAATTTTTATCTTTTTTGAAGAAAAGAAAATTTCAAATTTCTCTAAGTTGGTATTCACACTCACGTGTTTTTACGGAGGTTAAAATTTTTGAAAAAATTTCAAATTTGATAATGCATGTCTCTGATTTTGACTTTGATTTCGATAAACTAACTATTTGTTTGCTACAAATAAAATAATTGAACTTAATGTGCTCTACTTGCTTGAATTTTGATTCAAAGGAAAGAAAGTGTGGCGTTGAAATAATTTACTCAGAACGCCTTTTAAAGGATTTGGTGGATTGCTTTCGTGATCTTGATGAATCGGAACGTAAAAAAGATCTTTTTTATCACCTAGAGGAATTATTTGATAATTATTAATGCCAGTCTTAGAATTATTATCGTAGCTGTGTGAGACACCTAACAGGTGTTGTCAATTATAGCAGAATTATACTTGGAGTCAAAGTTGCTCCAAATCTCTTAAAATTTCTGAAGTTAGGAAGGAATAAAGTGCATGTTTCCATTAATTGTGGTACTATCTAATGCTTATTGGGATTTTTATTGGTTAATTTGTACTTTGTAGAGCCAAAAATATGACTTTTGCAATCTATTTTGGGACTATGGATTTTTTCAATTGTGGTTTTGTTGATAGTATATGCCTCCTTGCCTTATCATCGTTGTGCTCATGAGCTACAATTGACTTAATTTTTTCATCTGTAATAAAGTTTCTTAACCTTCTGACAAAAATAAATAAATAAATAAAAACTATAGTTCTAATTTATCAGATCCATGAATTTTCATCTCAAGTTGTTAATAGTATCAATTCAATTTTAATAAAAATCTATAATTTTATCGAACTTGATTGGTACCTAGTGTTACCACCATCACAAACCTTTTCTTCTTTCTTTTCTTTTCTTTTATTTTTTTTTCCTTTTAAAAAAAAAAAATTTTGTTTGATAGATAATTATTCCTAAATTTTAGGATAAACTACCAATTTTCAGTTGATGTAAAAGGGCAGGGGTGGTTCTTTTCTCGTAAAAAGAAAACGGTTAATTTGACAGTTAACATTCAACGGTCAACTTCTGATGAAACAAGTCCACTCTCTTCTCCTCACGCAAACTTCTATATAACATTGATGCAGCTAGGTCTCTTTTGTAGTCTTTATCATGGAATTTTATTTGAGACTCCTCCAAAAATATTTTTGTTTTTTGGTATCTGAGTGTTGCCTTGTTGCTCTGAAATTCTGAAACCTTTGCTTTCATTCTACTCCAACTTTTAAAAACATGACCACCTAATTGAAGTTACCAAGATTCATATATATGACCATGAGATCGAAAAACTGGTCTTAATTCCTGATTTTGCATAGAAAATGTTTCACATTTTTCTCGAATTCTTGCTGCCTGCTGTTTGTACATCTTTTCTTCTCCTATGATCCTATCTTAAGCTTCAACGCATTTCATTCTATTCCATTTGTGTTTCATATGGTATTCTAAAAAAATAAATTTGTTATTTTATCATGCAATATTTTTAAGATGTACTTTGACATTATATTGACTTGATTTTCTGGTTAACCTTGTACATCTTTCCTCCATTGTACAGAGCTAGCTTGGTGTTCATGTAATTTTTTAAATATTTTAATTGATACAGTATATATTAGTGAAACATGTAGTGATTAATCTTTTTATTCAAATATTTTCGATTTTTCGTGTGAATAATTCTTCTATTGTACGAGTTTCATCATCTTCCACTTTTGATTTTAACAAGTTCTTGTCATTTTCTTCTAAAAGTACTCTTTAATAGAAAAATGATGTTAACTTTGTGTAAGATTTTGAGACACCAAAGATCCATAAAAAACCCGTTCCAACTTTCAATTAGGAATTGGCACAAGGAACCCATTCAAGTGACATGGAAAAAACCCGAAATGGGGTGGACAAAACTGAATTTTGATGGATCCTGCAAGTGTAAGACAGGAAAATCCAGCATCGGAGGGTTGTTTAGGGACCACAATGCGGAGTTTTTACTTGGTTATGCAGAATCCATAGGAAGAAGCAACAGTGTCATTGCAGAATTGGCAGCGCTTCGAAGAGGGCTTGAATTGGTTATGGAGAATGGTTGGTCTAACGTATGGGTGGAAGGAGACTCAAAGGCATTGGTTGAAATTATTGCACAAAAGAGAACACTTCGATGTGCAGAAGCACAAAGGCATGTTAGCAGTATCAATTTAATAATACCAGTGCTCGAAAATTGTGTTGTGACACACATTTATAGAGAAGGCAACAGAGCTGCTGATAAATTTGCACAGATGGGGCATCATTTGAAGAAGCCTCAAATTTGGCACCATATTCCACCTAATCAAGTGTTGCGCATTGTGCATGAAGATGCAGAGGGTAAAATATTTATTCGTAGAAGATAATTAAACAGATTATGGATTTCTTTTTTTAGTATTGGAGAAATCTTTTCCATTGTATGTAATTATAATGTATGTATGTATATCATAGGATTGAGGTGCAAATATTTGTAATAATCGTCAATTGATGAGATAGAAATGATGTATAATTACAAAGTAGAAGAAGGTGGATGTTTCCATTAATTGTGGTACCATCTGTGAATTATGGGGTTCTTCATGTAAATTGAACTTGGAAAACTAATTGACTATTTACATGATCACATTTATTGGTTGATTTGCACTTAATAGAGCCAACATGCATGACTCTTGCAATCTATATATTTTGGGACTGTGGTCTCTTACCCTCCTTGAAAGGAAAAATGATGGCAAGAGCTTTTTCTAGGATTTTGAGACGCCAAGGATCATTACAAAATCCATTCCAAGTTTCAGTTCGAAATTGCCACAGGGAACCGATTCAAGTGGCATGGAAAAAACCCGAAATTGGGTGGACAAAATTGAACTTTGATGCATCATGCAAACCGGGAGGAGGAGCAAGCATTGGAGGGGTGTTTAGCAATCACAATGCAAAGTTTTTACTTGGTTATGCTGAATCCATAGGAAGCAGCACCACCAACACTGCCATTGCTGAATTGGCAGCGCTTCGAAGAGGGCTTGAATTGGTTGTGGAGAATGGTTGGCCTAATGTTTGGCTTGAAGGAGATTACAAGATACTGGTTGAAATTATTGGACAAAGGAGAAAATTTAGCAGTCCAGAAGCACAAAGTCATGTTAGTAGTATAAATTTAATAATAGGAGTGCTTAAGAAGGCAACAGGGCTGCTCATAAATTTGCACAGATGGAGCATCATTTGAAGCATTGTAATGACTCTAGCTGATGCCAAAATTTAAAAATATTCGGCAAAACCTCCCCTAAAAATGGGCCTACAATAACCTATTGCAATACACAAAACACATAATATCATCCAGCATCCCATTCATTCGTTCATTATACCTCAACATAGTTCCTCTCATGGTGAAACATTCACACACCAATTAATCTAAATTATCACAATTACAGTCCCAAAATACATGGTTAAGATTTAAAGTCCTTGTCTTACAACGTTACATGATACAATTGTGTGGAAACATATACCATAATTCCATTAGTTTCATTTACATCAAACAAAAGATAAGTTCGTACTTAAGTTACAAGGCCATGAATACTAATTTAGTTACATCCCCACAACTATGAATATATATAAAACGGTCAAAATACAAAATAGCAAACAATCTTCTAACAACTTTAAAGCTTGAGGTGGATTGTCGTCCACCGGTTCATTTCCAAGACCTGAAAAAAATAATATAAATAGTAGGGTGAGCATAAAGCCTAGTAGGTGACACTTAAGACACAATTCTTGTGTTCTTGTGAATCCAAACAAAGTATAGACCAATGGGAAATAGGGATTATGCAATATAGGGAATTAAAACAATATGCACGTCAATTCCAATTATAAACCATGCAGTGCAATGAAATGCAATGCATGCTAATGTCATTCCCCATTTTCATTCACAAAACCATCACTTTCAAATGTTAATACAGCCTGCCCTTTGGTAACCCCGCCGCGACATGAGAGGAGGATTGGCTATCGTCTCTAGACCTTTGGTAACCCCGCAACGTCATCGAGGGGCCCGAATAGCTCAACCACGCTAGGGCGACTTCCTAGTCCCCTCTAGGCTATATTAACCTCTGGCCCATTGGTAACCCCGCAACGATCAGATTTATCAAAACTATTTGACAAAACTCTTTTCCCAAAATTTCCCCCATTTTCATTTCAAGACAAATTCTCCAATTTCATGCATCCCAATGACATGTGCATGGATGTACATATAATCTCAATATTTTGACAATGGGAAATTTGGCACAATCTAAATAAACATGTTCTCATTAGTCATTTTCAGCATGTTAACACATAGTAGGCATGATAAAACAACATCTAAACATATTTTACACATGAAACAAGTCATAATCAAGTTCTTGAAAATTCTCTAGACATCATTCATACAAACATAGATACAATTAACTCCCAATTAAACATGTTTGACATAACAAGGAGGTGTAATTCACAATAGAACAAGAAATGAGTGGATTAAGATGCCCCTACCTCAAATTTGCACAAAACCCTTAAAATGGGTCTCTAAATTCGAAGTCCCTAGGAAGACCAAAAACTGAAATTGCTTCTATGAATGCGTAGAGCTCGTTGCGGGCTTCGTTTTGCCTCAAACGGCACTTAAAAACACTAAGAGATGAGGGAGAAATCAAAGAGTGAATTTCATGAAGCCAGAGAAAGAAAAAAGAAAAGTGAGAGCAGAAAGCTTCTGTCGTCGGGAAGAGAAAGAATCAGATTAGAGACCAAAAAAAAAAAAAAAAAAAACGTGGTCTTATGACCACTTTACAAAAGCTGTGGGTCCTACTTTTTTTTTTTTTTTTTTTTTTTTTCTCTTTTTCTTTATAACTTACAGACATTACATTCTCCCCAACTTTAAAAGATTTCGTCCCTGAAATCAAGACATACCTGGAGAAGAAAATAACTCTGGATACTTGGAGCGAACCTCCTGTTCGAGCTCCCAAGTAGCCTCCTTGATTCCGTGGTGTCTCCAAAGGACTTTTACCATTGGTATCGTCTTGTTCCTCAACACTTTTTGTTGTGTGTCAAGAATCTGAACTGGTCCTTCCTCGTATGAAACATCCTCATCAATGTCTACATCAACCCAACTCAAAATGTGAGATGGATCTGGCTCGTACTTCCGTAACATCGATACATGAAAAACATTGTGGACCCTATCCAACTGTGGTGGCAAAGCAAGTCTGTAGACAACCTCTCCTACACGGTCCAAAATCTTAAACGGTCCAATGAATCGTGGCGACAACTTGCCACTTTTCCCAAATCTCATCAAACCCTTCCGTGGAGAAACCCGAAGAAAAACGTGGTCTCCCACCTCAAAGGATAACGGCCGTCTCCGCTTATCCGCATAACTCTGAGCTATAAGTAACCTCTGTCTTATCAACTTAATTTTCTCAGTAGTCTCGAGGACAATGTCGGGTCCTAAGGCGGCTATCTCGCCTACCTCAGTCCAACAAACAGGAGACTTACAAGGTCTACCATACAACGTCTCAAATGGAGCCATTTGAATGCTCGCCTGATAACTATTGTTGTAGGCATATTCAATAAGTGGAAGGTGATCCTCCCAACTACCACCCAAGTCAAGCATACATGCCCGAAGCATATCCTCCAAAATCTGGATAGTATGCTCTAACTGACCGTCAGTCTGTGGATGGAATGCCGTACTCAGATGCAACGCTGAGCCAAACGCTGCTTGAAGTCCTTCCCAGAACTTCGAAATGAACTTAGCATCCCTATCTGACACAATGGTTACTGGAACTCCATGTAACCTTACAATATCTTTCACATAAAGAACACCAAGCTTCTCTGCATCATCTGTTGCCTTAATAGGCAAAAAGTGAGCCATCTTGGTCAATCTGTCAATGATGACCCATACGGACTCATTGCCCTTTCGTGACCTTGGAAGACCTGTCACAAAATCCATAGCAATATGCTCCCATTTCCACTGCGCTACAGGCAATGGTTGCAATAAATCGGCTGGTTTTTTATGCTCGGCCTTCACCTGCTGACAGGTGAAGCATCTAGTCACAAACTGTGCAACATCTTTCTTCATCCCGTTCCACCAATACTGACGTCTCAAATTGTGATACATCTTGGTACCACCTGGATGAACTGCAAAGCGGGAAGTGTGAAACTCCCGTAAGATGTCCTCACGACAAACCGTAAGAACCACCAACAAACCCCTGAACCGTAGACCCCTATCTGTATACAAAGCCCAATCTTTCACTGTCTCACCACTGGAGATCAAAGCGTGAATGACATCTAAATTCGGGTCCTGTCTCTGTGGCTCAATCACTCGTATAACAAGAGTAGGTTGAGCCACAAGACTAAACAAGAATGCCGGCTCGCTGTCAACATCGTCATCAAAACAATACAATCCCATCTCTGCCAAATCCTTAAGCATCTTCCACTTCCGAATAGCCAAACAGGCCAAAGTTCTACGAGATTTTCGGCTTAAGGCATCTGCTACCACATTTGCCTTGCCCGGATGATACTGCAAGTCAAAATTATAATCTTCCAAGAATTCAACCCATCTTCTCTGTCTATTGTTCAAGTCCTTTTGGGAGAAAAGGTACTTGAGACTTTTATAATCCGAGTACACCTCGAATCTCTCACCATACAAGTAGTGTCTCTAATACTTCAAAGCAAACACAACTGTCGCCAACTCCAAATCATGAGTAGGGTAGTTAAGCTTGTGAGTCTTCAATTGCCGAGACCCATAAGCCACTACTCTACCATCCTGTATCAATACACACCCTAAACCATCACGGGAAGCATCACAATAGATCACATAATCCAAGCCACGCTCAGGTATCACCAACACTGGAGCCGTAGTCAACCTTGTCTTCAATTCCTGGAAAGATGACTCACAGGCTTCATTCCATGCAAACTTAATCCCTTTCCAGGTTAAACGGGTCATAGATGCTGCCAAACGGGAGAAATTTTTCACAAATCTCTGGTAGTAACCCGCTAGACCAAGAAAACTACGGATCTCAAACACATTCTTGGGTTGCTCCCAATTCAAAACAGCTTCAATCTTTGATGGATCAACTGACATTTCGCCTTCTAAAACAACATGTCCCAAAAATTTCACCTCCTGTAGCCAAAACTCACATTTCTCATATTTGGCATATAATCGGTGCTCCCGCAAAATCTGTAAAACAATACTTAAATGGATCTTGTGCTCCTCCCGAGATCGTGAATCCACAAGAATGTCATCCACAAAAACTACCACAAACTGGTCCAAGTAATCGTGAAAGACGCGGTTCATTAAGTCCATGAATGTCGCTGGAGCATTAGTCAAGCCAAAAGGCATAACAAAGAACTCATAGTGTCCATACCGTGTACGGAATGCTGTCTTTGGGATATCCTCATCCCTAACCCGCAACTGATAATAGCCAGACCTCAAGTCAATCTTGGAGAAACAACTGGCTCCCCTCAACTGATCAAATAAATCATCTATCATTGGCAAAGGATACTTATTCTTGATGGTGGCACGATTCAACTTCCGATAATCGATGCACAACCTTAAAGAACTATCTTTCTTCTTAGCAAACAAGACCGGTGCGCCCCATGGTGACACACTCGGTCGGATGAAACCTTTCATCCTCAAATCATTAAGCTGTCTTTTTAATTCCTCCAATTCAACTGGTGCCATACGATATGGTGCCATAGAAATTGGCGCGGTACTTGGCATTAACTCAATAGAGAACTCCACTTCTCGGTGTGGAGGCAACTCTGTCAAATCCTCCGAAAACACATCCAGAAAATCACGAACAACTACAGGATAATCTTCTTCCATAACATCATCCTCTTCGGCTATAAGGCTAGCCAAAAAGTAATCACCACGACTCCATCCACGAATTCCATAAAACGATGAAATGTGGGAATCACTCCGATCTTCCACGAAAAAGAAACAGTCTCCCTCGGGAGTACAAACTGTAACCCTTCCTCTGAAACAGTTGATCGTGGAATGAAAGGAAGCTAACCAATCTATCCCGAAAATGACATCAAAGCTAGTCATCTCCAGGAGGATAAGGTCAAACACAAAAGTCCGCCCGGCTATCACAATGGAACAATCCCTCACGACTCGGCTCAAAAACACTGAAACTCTAACTGGCGTATCAACACACAATGCCCGATCCATAAAACTGACCTCTAACCCCGATGCAAGTGCAAATGATGATGAAA